ACTTGTTATTCAAATACAGCTCCTTTTATTTAATTTATTTTACCTTCTACCACATTTCGGGAAGTGATGAGTGACGTAATCTGCCATCTTAAAGGGCTGTACTTAATGAATGAGTGGATCTCTGTGCCATAATTCATCCATTAGCTCAGATTTCACATTTGAGAATGGTCAATTATCCTGTATTTCATTTTTGGCTTCAAAAATGAATTTTTCACTGTGGCAAACTATTTCAGTCGTTGACATCTAGCACATTTAAATGGGACTAGGAAAAGGAGTCTTGTTTACGAAGTGTGAAGTTTGTTCATTGTGATTGCGTTCTTCGAAGTTACATTTTATTGTACACCCTATACTCATTGCTGATACACCTGCTAAGAGTATTGGTGCAGTTTTTGAGCAAGTAGATGGACGAGTAATCTGTCTCACGCATGCTTACTTTAGCTGAATAAGGTTATTCACAAACTCAGAGGAAAGCAATAGCTGTACTCAGGATTGTCAGACTGCTTCAAAATCATTTATGTGGATAAAAATTCAATTTTGTTATGGTTTATGAGGCATTTCAGTCAATTTATCGTTATGAAAAATCTATGGCACTTTCGTCAGCTGTGGTAGTTTAGCGACGAAGTATTTCTTCCGATGTTTATGACCATATTGTTCAGCACAGAGGTGCCATACCAATTTTACGTGTTGACTTCATAATTCGATAGTCGTTGTACTATAAACTTGTTTATGCCTCACATTATTTAGTGGTCCAGACTTTACCGAGAGTCCATGCATAACGATTTGATCGTGCCTGTAAACTGACACGCCTCACGTAAGAGACAATTATTTGATAATAAATTATTATTATCTCATTACAGAGACTCGTCGATACTTTTGATGTATGCTTAGTGTAAAATGAGAAAACTGGGATCTGAAACGCGAAATTCCTGACTGATTTGTCAAACGGAATGAATCATTCACTACGCCCTATGGTATTTTGTATTTAAATGATCGTTTTCTATTCTTCCTACCCATAAGGGATTTCTTAGTGGAAGTTAAGGTGTTGAAAAGCTGCGAACTTCGGTCAGGTTCACGTGTTGTTGACGGGAGATAAGTGACGACATAAGTCTCTGAGCAACTAGTTTTGAAGTATGTCATCCTTCAAAATGGACTTAATGGACCATTTTGCCAGAGGTCTGGCAGACCACTGTGGTTCATTCCTAGTTAAGTACCTTGCACTTAACGTCGCAGATTATTTTTTAAGTAGTTTGAATTATTTACAAATATCACCGAATTCTTACTGCAGAATGCAAGTGCAAAGAAAAGTTTCCAGTTGTGTGGGTGTCATTAAAGTATTAGTAACTGAAGGTGGTTCTCACTTTGCTGCAGACGCACTTATCGTCTGGTTGATTGGCAGGGAACACACAAATGTTCAATAATTCCATACACGCTTATTTTAAGTCACGCAGAAAATTCCGTCAGAGCGTTAAAAACTACGATTAATTCCATCACTATTATAAAGATCGGTCAAACGAAGAGGGAAGTACACATTCCTTCCAAAATAGAGATGACTACATATTCTGTAATGAAAGAAACCTCAACACAGTTATTAAAAGAAAGGATTCTTTGTCCAGATTTGGGGTTCTTAGAGTCTGTAGAAGTTACTTACTGTCGTGAGAATGACAGTTGAATTCGTGCTGTTCTACCTGACTTCCATACCCATCCATACCTCACCGTCGAACATACTGACTTCGGAAATCTTCAATCACATTCATTTATATAAATAATTACTATATTGTTTATGATTCCTGAGACTCATCCAACTTGGAGATGCTGCCTGAGTATGACCACGGTTTTATTCTTATTTTATTTAGAGATTAGATTACTGCCACCAAACACATTGTGCGATAGTTTTGTTGGTTCCTCTGGATGCAAATTCATGAGTCCACCCCTAATGATAGGCACTTGACTTATTAATCATTAAGCAATCCTATGGCTCCTGAAGTTTGGTTGCTTGTGTCAATTCCATTTCATTGGTGACATTTTTGTCCTTTGGGCAGTACGTTGTTTCTGGATCATCTGGGGCCGTTTCACTAACTACCAAGCGCTATATCCAAACAAACAATAAATGAATGGTAACTGCTGGGCATTATATATTATTTTTACTTATCAAGTAAGTAGATTATGTATATACTAATATTTCTATTAGCATTAACTTTCATCTGACCTTTTGGCTACTGTTATACGATTTTCCATTCTTAACTTATTCCTTATTTATTACTTACTATATCTTATACTCACAGCCAAATCTGGCTTGGTCTTTTACAGTTATTATATTTAATATTATGGTATGATTTTGTGTGATCTGCTTGCATACAAACCACTTATCTCTGAAATATACGATCCATAGAGCGGATGCTGATATTTGTGTTCTGAACTAGTCTGTCTAGACTAGGTGAGGGGCTGCTATATTTGGAACCAACAGGGACCCAGAGTTGGCTCAAGACTGCTAATGATGAATAACTCGGAAATGGCTTAGCACATGGACTGTCACAGAATTCCGTATTCTGATTGGTGATTTCGTCACATGATATTCGAAGGGCCATAGGACATAAAACTAAGAAATTATTGTTTATTCGTTGTGGTAGTTATTCGTTATTCTGTATTTGATTTTACCGTTTTTTGTTACTACAATTATTGACTCACAGAAGAAATTAATGACAATATCTTGTACTGCTCCTAAATTATCTGACTTTTTGATTCATTTTATCTTCATCATATATATATATATATATATATATATATATATATATATATATAGATTAATACAAATTGACGCTGACAACCATTGTTTGAATTAGCTACAACGTTCATAGCATCATTCGAAACCATTACCGCACAAAATTTTATTCTGCCGCCACATCTTGTTTCATTAACGATTCATTTCCTTAATAGTAAATTTATTCATTTGATTCATTTTTAATACACAGATTACGGTCAATTCTTATTCTGTTTCACAGAAACACTTATTGAATTATTTAGATATTTCATACTTCTCTCATGCATTTCCTTACTTCTCTTTTTAAAGTCAACTTGATATTCTAAATTTTACAGAACCTGTTTCATTGTAGCTGATATTAGGCAGACATTATTTAAACTTGTGCATTATCGTACTTCTCTAGAGACCTGAAATGATCTCTTCTTAATAAGTATGCACCAATGAGCTGTTTGTAAATTATTCTGATAATAAAACATTGTTCAAGTATATTCAGCGTATTTTATGCATCGTAGTTGTCCACTCAGCACCACTTGAAGACACTGCCTTGTACAGTTTTCCGCAAATCTATAAAACATTCACCGTCAGTTTCCAAACATTTGATGTGCTCGAATGGAGTGCGTTTTCGCATTGTCTTTAAACCATGTCTGTTTTATTTTTCAATAAACAAATAAGCAAATTTGTTATGAAAACAAAAATAAAACTGTCAGTATGAAATAATTTATAAATTGGGAAACAATGCTTAAAATATACATACCTGATAGGAAATGGATTGCATTTCCTTCAATAAAACCTAATTATAAATTCTTCGAGTAATAATCTTGACTATGTCAGTAGAATAAATACACGTGAATTGGAAGTCAAGTAAGTATGATAAGTTTATGATACCAACGGATAGACGACTTGGTCAATTGTACCTCAAAATAAAATTAATTATACGTTTATTGTAAAAGGATGAAACTGTGATAAATAAACACTCATAAAATATTTTACCTTTGTGTAGTGAAGTAGTTGACTTCATTATATGAACTAGGAATCCCATTGAGTCTGGCGTGACTTCTTTCACCCCTCGCCGTTAACAAGAGGTGCCCAGTTTTCACTAACAGATTACAATATTTAGACAGTAACTAGGAAGACTGAAACGTCTTTTCTCGTAAAATTCACCAGAATGAGACGATATCTACTCTGTAATATTGAAACAATGAAGGGAAGCCATCAGCACATCTGTAATTGATCTGTTCTAGAACTCACTAGAGTCACGTCAGCTGCAAAAGGAGTGGAAACAGTTTACTATCTCTAATATTCATAGGGACAGATGAAAAAGATCCAGTCTGCTACAGAACAGCAACATTACTGCTAGTACTTTCCAACGTAATCGAAGGGGTGATAAATGAAACAAAAGGAATACATACATGGGAACATCATCTCGTATGATGTTCAACACTTGAGACTATTTCTCTCTGAGCTAAAAGAGAACAATAATGGCGCACAACATACTAAGTACACTAATTTACCCTAAAACATGTTTTTGACTGAAAATCAACAACATGATTCTCAAGGCAGCTCCTGAAAAATCACATATGGACGAGCAAACACCCTACTAATCCATTTTTTAGTCGTTAAGATTTCAACTCGTTTTGGATGCTTTCCTAGAAGGAGTAAGTACAGCCCTCTTAGTAGATAGCTTCAAGAGAACATTTGGTTAACACTTCATCATCCATGTAATACAATCTTCTGCGTGAACCAGCTTTACATGACCAACGTCTCGTAATTTACCTTCTGTTACCATTATGACATGCCAGTAACACCTCTGTATCTCTCTTAATATCACCCCTGCTTTCACTTCCATTCTTTGACTTCGATCTTCCCACACTATCTGGATTGCCAACTTATAAAGTTTTATTTATTACTTGAAACAATTATCTCTTAACACTCGAATTATCACCTTATTGTTCATTACATTGCAAAGTACCTCCTGATTATAATTTTTATAGATGCCGCTATCCGGAAACCCTACTTCCCTGAGGCAAATGAACTTACTTGAATTACAAAATCTACAAATCTACAAATAACTACCAAACTGGCTGGAGCAGTTAATTCGAGTGTCTAGACTGCCACGCATTGAACGCTACCAAAATCGTGAAATCGTATCAGAACAGCAATAAGTGAATAATATAAAATCATTCGGTGAATACGAGCTTTTAGAAATATTGTATGTTTTGAATTCTAGCATTCTGAGGTTTCGGGGCGGTATCCTTAAATGTATCGTTACCTCAAGAAGAGTTTTTAAATTATGGAGAGGGACGGTATGTCTATGTACATGAACAGGCGTATGTAGCTCTAAATTCTAGACTGTTGAAAATAAATTCTTTCGTTAGATGATTTGATGATAATATGTAAGAAAAAGCACCCAAATATGACTCAATTATCACAAATTACAGTTGGAATTGTTTAGTTTATCACTTAGGTTGTGAAAGTTTATGAAATAAATAAATTTACTATGTGACTGGTTTTTAGGGTCTATATATAATTGACTTTTTGAGTTTACTAATTAAATGTTAAAAAGAATAGCTCGTATTTTTGCCCTTCCCTACTCCTCGTTCTTAAACTTTATTATTAGGATGCCCAGACAGATGTCGCTCTAACAGTTTTCAAGGACTTATTCTTAGGTATATCCTCCAACCTTTTGTTCTTACTCTTAAATTAGACTTTCTAGTGGGCTGACTTAATATGTTAGATTTTCTATCGTTCTCTCGTAAATTTACAGAAATTATTTTGTGGCACCTTGAAGTAATTTAAGTTAAAGGAAAATCCAGAGATGACAGACAACCATTCGATTTCAAGCAACCGACATTCACCGATTTTAGCTAAAGATATAAAGGACGTACTCCTAAGGAGGTACGCTATATTCACAGGTAAGATCATGTTGTTCCTAGTATTTTCTTTAATCATAGGTGGCCATGATAAGGAATTCCGCTCCCTTATAATTTTCCAAGATCGCGGTCTAGATGGATTAGGTGATGATTCATACATTTTTCTTATGCAGTATTTTTCTTCATTATCAACGTAAGTTGCTTCTCGTAATTATCCCTCAAAAAAGCAGAATGCTAACATGTGTTCAAGAGTTTACTGTCGTTATTGATAGGCGTACTGGTAATTGGACAGTTGTCAAGTCGATTGTTGCCAGGCTAAATGTTAGTAATTGTCCGAGTTTTCTCACTGAAATATTTAGGAAAAGTTCCCAGGAAACTTACATCAAATATTTATTATCAAACCTCAAGGTTTTATGCAAGGTTTTTTCTTGGAGAAAACAATAAACTCAATTCGTGATGGTTGTAAAATTCCGTTAATTTTCGTCGACAAAACTGAAGAATTGCTTCCTTTCATAGATCAACAACATTTGACAAGTGACTTGGGCGGTGAGCTTAATTTCGACATTGAAGACTGGCTTACTAACAGGATAGTAAGTTCTTCTAAATACGTGGATTCATTATTAGTGCCTTTTTCATTGAAGTATTTTGTAATAAATTTCGGTCCATATTTGGCTTTGTATCATGATTCATAGTGGCTCTTTCGTGTTATATTTACTTGTGCCTGTTACCCCTTGTGGAGGAGCACAGGCAGCCCACCAGCATTGTCCATCGAACTGTTTCCTGGTTAGTCCTTTCGAGTTGTTTTAAGTCGTTATTCGTTATTTCGATGTCCATTCCCAATTGTCGGCGCGAAATGTTCTTCGGCCTTCCTCTTACGTTCCCGCTCACGACTCCTAGTTATCCCTTGCCCTGCATTATTTGTTTATTTAAACACAAATATTGGTACAAAAGGGGCACCGGATATACATGCGCAACACAAGTCACTTGATTAGTGTGTGACTGGTTATACTGCCTGGGTGCGCGGACCGAAGCAGTTGGTTCTCCTAGAGAGCCACACCCAGAGCCTCCGACCTAAAAGTCTAATCAACGAGACAGTGGAGCAACGTCAAGAGAAGCCGTCACATGGTAGCCAGTCACCGGCAGTAGGTTAACACTCCATTTCTTCCCTCCGGGTCCTGGAGCCCATGTACACCATTGTTCAGAATCAGGGTTTTCTAACTTCCCTAGGTGGGTCCTCTATATCCACCAATCCGGTTAAAGCACCGGACATTCACTTTTCGTTCTCTCAGTTTCGTAAGGAACAGTAATGTCGCGAGAAAATAGTTATCAGGACATCCCTGACAGTGGTTGTATGCACATGGCCATGTGAGAGCATTTTGAGAGGGAAATAGGTCTCTCCCCACTTGGTCGTACCAGGGCATTTGGGAGCATGCCTTGTGATGCGGTTTGGTGTTTTCCTCAGTGTGTGCCCTATCAACCTTCAACGTCTCCTAATTTCCTCTTCAGCTGGATGCTAATTTGTTCTCTGCCACTGTAGACCGTTGCTGATGGTGTCCAATCAGCGGATATTCAGTATCTTGCGTAGAAAATTGTTTATAAATATTCATACTTTTTTGATGACTGCAGTAGTTCTTCAAGTTTTAGCTCCTTACAGTAGGATTGTCTTGACGTTCGTATTGAAGATTCTGACTTTGGTGTTGGTTGACAGTTGCATCAAAGTTTCCACCTTTTCCAGTGATTGGGCTGGTGTTCTCCTTGTTGTATTTGAGGACCTTGTTTTTTCTCTTGTGTATGGGATAGAGGGGCCAGGTTATCTGCAAAGTCCAAATCCTCAAGTTGCATCCAACCTGTCCATTTCATTCCGTGTTTTCCTTGAGACATAAAGATCTTCACAATCCAGGCAACCACCAAAAGAAAGAGAAAGAGTAAAAGTAATTAGCTATATCTGACACTGGTTCTAGAACACAGACACATTCAGACGCCCCACAATGGTAGTATTTCTCGGCCTTAAGGCGGCGTTCGACTCTGTTGATCGTAAGGTTCTATGGCAGTGTTTGTCACTGAAAGGAGTACCAAAAAAGTACATTAACCTTATAAAGGCTCTCTACTCGAACACAACTGGTAGAGTGAGAGCTTATGGCAAACTGTCATCAGAATCGATTACCTCAAGTGGTGTTCGTCAGGGCTGCCCACTCTCCATTCTTGTTCAACTATGTCGTCGACGTACTTTTAGAGATAACACTTTCCTCGTCTAGATTTCCAGGGGTTGAACTTCTACCAGGAGGTTCACTTGTTGACTTAGAATATGCTGATGACATAGTTTTATTTGGTGAAAACGCTGACAAAATGCAGAGTCTTCTGACCACTCTAAGCAACAGTGCAAGCATGTTCGGGATGCGATTCTCCCCATCAAAATCGTTTGCAATGGCGCAGGTGCATACACTCTTTGTGTTCTCCCAAATTCTGATCTTCTTATTCCTCCTTGTCTCTTTTTTTTCTCTTCCCAAATTTATTTCACTGTATTATACTCTTTAAGTAACATCTCCAAACCCTAATCTTCCCGATTAATGCTTATACTCTTATTACCTCTACCACTACGGGATTTGAATCGAACACTGCATCTCTGTGCTAATGTGGTGTGGCAACTCGAACTGATGTACGTGCGTACGAAGTTCTACGTTGTTACTGACTGACTGACTGACTTAGAATGAGTTCGTCAGTTGTCCTCCATGCACAACTTTGCAGTGTAATCCGTTGTATGAATTCCGTATGATGGTGACGATCTCCTCAGGTAAATCATAGTGTGGAAGAAGGTTCCATAAGGTTTTCCTATCCACACTATCATATGCTTTCTCATAGTCAAGGAATTTGACGTATAGTGACGAGTACCACTCAATTGATTGTTCAACGATGATAAGCGATTTGGTTAGTACACGACAGCCTGTTGGTCTTGAAGTTGGACGTCTACTGAATCTTTCATCCAGTTCAACAGCACTGTTGAAAACTATTTCTGATATTGATAGTTGTGTGATTATCACACTTGCTAAGATCTTTCTTTGGTATCTTGATGGGATATTCTTCTTTCCAGCCTGTCGGTGACACTTGCTCCTCCTCCCAAATCTTCCTGAATAGAGTGCGAAACGTGTTTTCAGTTGCTTCTATGTGTGACTTCAGTGCTTCATTTGGTATATTGTCAGGTCTAGCTGCTTTTCCACTTGATTTGTCTGATGGCCGTGTTGATTTCTTTGATCGTTTGTGGAGTGACAGTTATAGGATGGTCTGTAGATGCTGCTTCGATTTCCGGTGGATCCAACAGAGCTGTTCTATTTAAGGGCTTCTGAAAGTGTTCCACACATCTGTTCTTCTGTCCTCGAATCTCAATTATTGGCTTGCCTTCTTTGTCGTTGATTGGTCTCTATGGTTTACTATATTTCCCTGCTAGTCTGTTCGTTGCGTCATATGGCTGTCTCATATTTCCTTCTCTTGCAGCTTTTTCTGCTGTCGTTGCTAGCTCTTCCATGTATTTTTACTTGTCAGCTCTAATGTCCCTCTTCACTCTTTTGTTTGCTTCTATGTATTCAGTTTTTGCCTGGGTTTAATCTGTTCTTGTTCGGTTGTTGTTAATTGCTAACTTCTTGTTCATCATTTCTTGAATCTTGTTCAGGATTTCCATGGAGTTCCGTTTTTTATGGTGCTTCTTGCGGCTCAGAGCCTCCTGACGCGTTGAAGCTAGTGCTTCTTTGATCGCTTTCTAGTTGTTCTCCATAGTAGTTTCTTCTTTGAATAAATCTTTTTCATATTTTTTAGTCATTAATTGTCATAATTTGTTAGTGAAACACCTTTCAGTGCAGGATTGCTCAGGTTTCTTTCCACCAGACCGAAAAAATCCGGTATTCTCACACAGTAACAAAGATCATTGTGGTGACTGTATCTAAACTACGGATGCCAAATATTTCCCATTTAAGGAGGGATGGCAAAACGGAACCCCGTTATACTCTTTCGCTGGTTCAGAACGTTTAATTATGTAATGATATTTACCCTCACTTAGTATTGTTTTTATACAGATTTTTAAACATGGTATCCGAATTCTGGTGTTTCAGGTGAAAAGTGGTTATTGGTAATTGTCTGCACCTGTAATAATTGTGAATAAATTTTCCATTAGCCATTATGAGACGTCTTAATACTAACTACGAGTACTATATAAAGCCAATAATTAACATAATACAGAAGCAGTTCTACTATATTATCTCGACTCTAAAAATATCAATCGCAGAAATCTAAGACGGTAGTTAAAACCATTTTGTACAAAACCTGGGAGTTGAGCAGGATTCTGTCTTAAGGAGTTAGTTTGGAAATAATGAAACCTCTATGTTTTAACATAGCTGCCCAATTTATATCATTGTCTTTTGTTTGACATTTCCAATCAATACTATTGAAAAATTATTACACGAATATCACACTTATTTATCCGTACATTTCTCACCAGGTTCGACAACATATTTTGCATTATGCTACTCGAAAAGATTTCTGTCTTCAGTTTTCACAAGTAGGTATTATATATATATCAACCAAACCTTATCCATTTATTCTTCTAATCTGTTTTCTGTATATGGGCTTAGATAAATAATCATATTTTCTCACTGCACACTCATTTTATAATAAGGATAACACTTAAACATAAACACGCGAGTCTTACGCTTATATTTTTAATTATTCATGAATTTTCGCAATAATCCAATGATATTTTATGATTAATAAGAGTAAAATCACCAATGATTGGCTAATCTAACCTAAAACTAATTTTGTTTGCTTTTATGTGTGTCTAATCGTAAGACAAAAGAACAAAATAAAACAAATAAGTAACAGAATAGTGGCCTCATTTTATATGCATATTATTCACTTGTTGTTTGCCATTAATTTCTTTGATTTTTTTCGACTGTCTGTTTTATATGGTTATCATTTTAACTAATACTGAGTACTAAAATATACCCTGAGTATTGTCGGAGTATAATTAATCTCATCTATATCTGAAGCTTAACAGAATGGATTTGTAATCTTTGCGACAGATTTATTATCTGTTATTTGATTTGATTTAATGCTATTGCTTATTAATCTAATACGACTATTCCAATCTTTTTCGCTTCTTACTTACTTCTCACATCTCTTTATTCGAAGCGGAATTATTTTTTCTGTCTAATCATTTTGTTCCTGTATTTACTTCTTGTAATTATAAATAATGTGTAATAATTATTCGTTATCTTTACAATTCTTCAAATTAAAGGATATTGAAGAATACTTTGAAGAAGTTGAACATTTAAACACTGAGTTGAAAAACATCATGAATCAGTGTATTAATCAAAACTATAATCAACGACAGGATTATTATTGCAATCCAAAATCAAGAACTTGCTATTTAAACCAATTTTATAGTTGTGAAAATATGCTCGAATTACGTAAAAAATGTCATCATTGGTTACATCGCGTTTCACACTGTGAAGTAAAGGGTTTGAAAATACGTGAAAATTTACTTAAGAAAAATTCAAATCAGTCATGTACAACTATACGAGAAGAAGACACTACAATAAAATGTGATATACCATCGAAAACGGGGACATGGGCTAATACAAGTGATGCATATGACTTACCAGTCGATTATGTCTTTCATATAATTACTTTTGATCGTATACTCATTAGGTTAACTGAGGCTCGTACCGAATTAAGACGGTACTGGCGTGAATACATGAAACGAGTACGTGTTACATTTCTGGTTGATGATGTTGAAAACCAATATTACGAAGTAAGTATAAGTATGTTTTGAATATAATATTATTTATTTGTAGTGGAATTTTTATTGTTTCTGTTTAGTGTGTAATTAAGACTTTTTAGACAATAAGTATGACACTAGACTGATAGTGTGAGTGTGATAAGTGAAAGTTGTGTCCAAACACCTGATTGAAGTAGCATTAAACTCTACATTTTGTATTTCCACTTTGAAGATATGTACATTATTCATTTTAACCATTTTATTCAGGACAGTGAAAGCGTGTTTTGTTCGAATCTTCGTTAAATAGTACAATTACGATCAGTATACTTAAGCGCAAAATCTGTAGTTGAATCACGGTTCTCTGAAAAACCTGTTATTGAAATGAGGTTATTTAGAAGTACATTTGCAAATAGAAATTAAAATGGATATATCTGACAAACCTTACTTAACAAAGCCTTTTCTCAGATAATAGCTCTATTCAACCTCTCATTTAACTCCTTTTTGGTACAAAGCCTCCAGTAATGTTATTTATTTGTTAAGTACTTATTTTAGTGCGAAACTATTTAAAGCTTTGCCAATTGATTGGTTCGAATTCACCTTATCTCCATAAGACTATTCATTTTCAACATAACTTCTAAATAAATACATTTTTGTACACGTTGTTATTCAAAACTTTCTTCGTTAGCTCGAAAGTAATCAAATAAGTAAGATAAAATAACATATATCTCTAAACACATACAGGTTAGTGTACTAGTCTATGGACTAAATTCTCCATGTAACTATAAACGATTATACCTGGTTGTCAAAACTTTGATATGTATGGTCGAATTTAAGTCGGTGACCCATTAATCGAGTCCTTTGACCAGTAAACCACAGCTCCCGTTTGTAAAAACTTCATTACTGATATTATAAACCTAAATCTTAATGTACAGACAAGAAAATTACAAAAAGTGGGGAAAGCGTATTAGAATTAACTCAAAGGTTATGATTGAATGAATTATACCTAAATATAGAATAGTAAGATTTTCAAAATAGAGACGAAGATATTTGTCGTCTAGTATACCTTCAATACCACTGAGGACTTTGAATAATCAGTGTTTATTTCAAATCATCATGAAATATCTATATAATATATAATTTGAAATTAGTTTATTATGGACAGTAAATCAATTAAAGAAGTCCAATTCATTGTGAGTCTGCTAATTGTGGTGTGTATAAACAACTCTGGTACTCTCAATGATAAATATATTTTTGTTATATCCCAATGAATAGGAAAATCGCATTTCTGACGTTTTGTGACCTAATGTAAGCCACTTCAGAAATGCAATTTTTCTACGCATTAGGATATAACAAAAATATGTTTATTATTTTATTTGAAATTATCAAGTCCAACCTTGGCATTGATACCTATAAACACATTAACAATCTGGTATTCTTTTTTTGAGTTTCTCATCAACTCCGTAATGGCTAATAATGATCTCGTTGTCATAAGACGAAGTTCGGTAATATATGCTACTTATTTCACATAACTCCAACCAATAACCAGTGACCTAATGAATTTGTGACAAGTTTTATCTTTACCATATTAGAATTTTATAATCCTATTATGACCACCCAGAAGATGCATCATTACATATCACTAAGTGCACGCAACACGTGTTTTAACCACTTCATCTGTATCCGATTTACAATCTCATTAACTAACCTTAAACTTTTAAGTTCCATTGGTTTGGTTTTGTCAGAATCTATGTCAAAGGTATATTTGTAAAATGCAGATCGGAAATACTTTAAAAAAATCAAAACAAGATGAGTCATACAAATGCGGGTTGTAAAGGTTATTTTAAAGTTATTCTGTAGTCATATGATGGTTGTACCTGCTTTCAAACATAAGTTTTGTAGCACTAACAAAATAAATTATAAATGAGATTATTTTAGTACAGTATGGATAATTTCGGAATTATTTCAAGCTGAGAAAACATGTTTTCTGTGTATTATTTTTTGTAACTAAACTGGGATCAGACTACCATGAGAAGTGTTGTTGCCGTAATTGACCTATACTGAGAGTTGTGCGGGGATAACTTATAATCAATGTTGTAAAGTGTGCATCTGTTAGTAATATGTTTGGTTTTAATGTATGTGAAAATCTTCTTACAGCTTTACTAACTTACCACTTTTGAAATCCAAATCAATGCTAATATAAATCTAAGTATACATAATATACTCCATGAACAACAAGTTAAATCTGGGAACGAAAGTTTAAGGTTACGCTATGAATTCGACAGATGAAAAATAAACCCATTGCAGTAACAAATTTTGGGCGATTCTCTTCAAGGTTCTCATTCATTAACTCCAGTTAGGAAGTGTTCACTTTTCGATAAGGCTCAGATCAACAAATAATGACTTCTTAAACTGATGCTATTTATTGATCCTTTTGCAATCTAATTTTTTTACAACCTATGTTGGTCAGTGTAGTAAGCTGAGGTAGGTGATGGCAAAATCTTCACCTCATGTCTGTTAGTAATGAAGTTCAAATCTCTTGATCCAGCTATCGAGCACTGAATCTTTCAACTAGTAAATCATGGTTTTAACTGGTCAGTTATCACTACATGTTGGTTATGGGACCAGAGATTTTTTGATAAATCGTAAAGTGATTTCAGTATAATGGTTTAATTGAGAATAACTTCCATTTTTCGTATTGATCGTGTTTCAATATGCGTAGAATCTCATTCTTATTTTTATCTTTTCAAAAATTATTTTCATAGTTTACTAATCTTGCCAGTACATGGAATAATCTAATTGAATCTCTAGTTGATTATTTACCTGTTAAAATGTCCAACTCCTCCACTTTATCTCCAACACATCAACATTATCTTAATCAATCATTAAAAGATGATAAGGAGAACAGTTGCATTCATAATAGTAATAATTCACCATGTTCCCCTTCACATTTCATTATACTTTCTGCATTGAAAAATGATGATGATGAAACGGATACATCGTTAAGTAAAACAATATTGGAAAGTTTAGAATTACTATCTTGTCGTATATTGGAAGCGGAAGCCACTGGTAATCGACTATTAGCAAGATTAAAAGAATTAGATAAGATTGCAAGCAATTTTGCTTTATTTATAATTGATAACGTGGAAGAAAAAGAAGGAGTGTTACTGAACAATTCTAATGAGAAAGACAATCATCAAGGTAGTTAATTGCATTTAGCATTTAAGTATTTGTTATTGCATGTTCTGTGTAAATATGTTCGTCGAATCTTATATCATGTGGTCTTTTTTTGTATTTCAATTTGGTAACGAAACTCTGCCTGCGTATAATTGATATTACTTTGAAGGAGGGATTTGAATTTAAAACCTAGTGGTCAGTAGTCAAGTGGATTAATCACTAGGTCAAAGTTTCGTACTTTTTTCTGTGGGTTTTTTTAGATAATAAATATTGAGTTGACCAAAATGCAACAACGTTAAGTAAGCAGAGACGAATACATAAGCAAAATAATTTTTTCAAATGATTCCACGAGATTCATCATCGACAGTGCTCAGAAAAACCTGATAGATGCGGTTGACAAGCGTCTTTTGTCAAAGTTGAAAGGGCTCTTGAAGAAAAACTTGATCAATAATCCTACGTACAACAAATTGATGCCGAAAAATCTCAATTACCTTGTACTGCTTACCTAAAATGCACAAGTAAAACATTACATTGAGGCCAATATTATCGATAACCAAATCGCCTTTTGACAATCTCGCCTGCTAGTTGACATGGTGTTTAGAACCAATCCACCAGAAAATAGCCTTCTACAGTCTGAAGGATAGTTTCGAATTTGTACAAAAGCTTGATGGCTTAAATGTTTCCGAAAAATTTGTGGTATCTTTCGACGTCTCACCAATTCTGGGGGAAACGGCTGAAATTATATGTCATTATCCTCAACTCCTTCCTTCCCTAACCAATGAATTCAAACAGATCTTGTTTATGTGTACCAAAAATATTCAATTGCACTTCAACAGTGTGTTGTACTTCCGGATTGATGGAGTTGCTCTGAGTCCAATTTTGACTGATATACTTATGGGAAACCTGGAACAGAAGAAGCTTAAGCACACTCAGTCGAAGGAACTATACTCTATCGTAAATATATTAATGACACATTTCTTGTTTGTAACAATTAGAAGTTTTCTGTGTACTCGCTCAGTCTGTTTAACACAGCACACAACGATAGAGACTTTACTATGAAACATGAAATAGAAGGTAAATCCCATTTCTTAGATGCTAGAATCGAACGAACTTCAAAAGCTACACAACTACTGCAAAAATGCATGGAGTGGAGTTTATCTAAACTAAAACAGCTTCTCTCTAATAAGTTACAAAAACGGGGTTGTACGAACCCCTTTTTGACTGCGCTCGTAAACTTTTCCTGAAGGAAAGCTTGGAAGAAGAACTCATCTTCATCACAAATTGCTTACGTGAAAATGCACATTCAGCGAATTGTATAGAGAAATATGCAAAAACCAACCTACATGTTAATAACGATACAGTTGATAAGAAAACCTGCTTCTTATATTCACGCTTCAAAGATGAAATCACTGGAATAATTAAATACAGAATAAATGTCGCGATGAAGATTGCGTATTCATTAGCAAGATTGACGACGTTGTGCGAAACTAACTGTTCGCTCAAACAAATTAAAATTAACAAGTCATCTTTTCTCAGTACCTCCAGCTGTATTTACCAATCTACGTGTACGTGCCAAAACACATAGATTAGAAGAACAAAGAGAAGAGTACATGTTCGCACTTCTGAGAACGTTCCGAACAACTTGAAACTGAGAGGTGCAAAAACTCCATATAGTGCAATAGCTCTGCATTTGATTGATACCGGGAATACGTTTGATATTCCTCAACCCTTCAAAATTATCAGCAGACATACAAACACATCGTCTCTTCGGTTTACCGAAGTAGTGGCAATAAAGATACTCAAATCTAAATTATGTATCCAGAAAGAGACAGTAATCGACTTATCACTACCCTAGTAGATCGTTATTTCCCATTGGTATCATTATTATTTTATTAGTGTTTACTTCGTTATGTGGTCTTAATCAAACTAATTCTTATTTTACACCGAAATCACCCCTTAGTTTGTTAGTTTTTTTCATTCACTCAATTCTCTAAACTTATGTAAGCCTCTTTAAATCCTGTTTAATTATTACGCAACCCACCTTATCGATTCCTAATTCTATACAATTATCGTCTCAACGCTTCAAATCTTCTATATCTATTTTGATGATTTGAATTTTACGTAAGTTCTTCACAAATTCTATACTTGGCACACAATCTGTATTATCTGCCTCCGGACTTCATTTGATTACTGTCTCACCCGCCCTCCTATGCTTTTAGGACTCCATCTCCAAATGACCTCACACAACTGTTATTACACGGATATCTATTTATAGTTACTATTGATAAACTTTGTTGTTCTAATTCTTTCCGTCATCAATGCCAATTGATGCACATTATATCATAACTCAATGTTACATTTTAATACATATATGGTTGTAAGCGACAGATGGGAAACCACGAAATGTAATAAATCCATGTTGTTTTGGCTATAGTCAACTGTTATATTAGAAATTATTGATGATCTGAGTCACTGATACGAAATGCACTCATTCTCTGTGCACTCTTCTGAATCTTGAAATTCATTTTTACAATTTACGTACTAGTTTCCTTTTAATTCATTTTTGAATACCTTTCAATTTGTTGATATTCTTTCCTTCTCACCGAACGTGTGACAATGTAAATCGATTGTGTTCCGTGAGAGTTTCTCCTGACTATGTCAGATTAGTATTTTTGTTTAGTAGATTATTATTACTCTGCTTTTATTAGCTTTTATATTCATGGTGTAATATTGCTTTTTCTCTGAATTCAGCTCAAATGTTTTTTTCCAAAATGTGGTCTTCTTCATCTCTTATTAATGGAATTTGACTTTTTGAGTAAATTTCGATATTATTTAATTTATCCTGTATATATGTTCATCTTTTTGATTTTTATGAACGCCAAATATTCAAATTTTTTATTGTATGTTCGACAAACTGTTGTAAGGCTCAGTCCCATCTGATCCTGAGAGCAGTTGTTTATTTTAAGCATTCTTATGAAATGGTCGACCTTTGGAATATTGAGATATTCAATCCAAACGGACCATCTTTCAGACTTTAAAGGAATATAGTTCATCTGGTAATGATTTCAAAGCTGCCACTATTTTTATGTTCGATGTCTCGTTATTGATTTTATTTCAAAATGGCGAAGATTTATTAGTTAGACATAGCTTATTAGATGCGGTCGTTTGATTTCAAATTTTCATTGTCAGGCTAAATAATAGTCCTTACAATTTGCTTGTGATTGGAGTGCCTCATACAATGATTTCTGTAAGTTATTACTAGACTGTTAATTTACCAAATTCTTCACACGATCAGCATGGATATAACATCTAAACTTTGTAAGACAATTATCTAGTTAAGAAAAACCATCATTGCTAAATTAATATTACTCCATATTGTGTAGTTATAGTATTTTTGATCGTTACTGTTCCATCACTTTCTAGTTATCTATTCATTGATTTTCATTTTTGATATACTTTTTTAGAATTCCATTTGAACAGTTAGTTAGTGGTTAAACCATTTGATTTTCGATCAGTGAACTACTTGTTATAATTCAATTTCATTTAATTTGGTTTTGAAACCGGACAGTATCGCTATTAATAAATGATATATACATATACCTAATCATTAATAAATCAATTGATCGGATCATTTCACTTACTGTAGTATAATCAGTAGTATTAATACTTCTCGTTGTTATGTAATAAAAGTGACTCCTAGTATGATTATTATTTTGTATATTCATCTATTGTTAAGTAAATCGAGTGAATTCGTTTTAGTCTTAAATGATAATTGATTAGATATTCTTTTTCAGCTTCATTTCTCTGTTGTGATGTAAATCGATTGGTCAGTGCAAATTTAGTCTCAAATATTATTTGTCCAGATTTGTCAATAAAATTAAATGGAAGTAATCAACAAAATGATGTTAACCTAAATACCAGTTGCTTATCTCTATATTCTGGAGAGGAAGATGAATCATCTAATCTTGTTATGTCTGATGAAATTAATCATAGTTCTAATGAAAAAACTGATGAATCCATGCAACAATATTTCCTTCCTATCAAATTTCCTTCAAATGTAAAAGAATGGTCTTTGTTATTTAAAAATATGATTGATTTAGCTAGTATAGATTTACCAAAAGCAGCTGATCAAATTAATCGTTTGCTACAACTGTACACAGAAATTGATAATGTGAGTAGTGTCACTTTTTATATTTACAACATTGTTATTAATTGTTCTTTCATGTTTCTTGTCTTTTTACTCAGTCTTCTCAATTACCTACCTAAATTATGCATACAATGGCTATATATATATATTATAATTCCTAATAACAGAAAAAGATATGGTTTGTATATAAAGGACCAGAACTTGTACTTGGAATATTTTCCTCATATTTAGGTTCCTTATGAATAATATATGTGGCTGTGATTGAAATTTTTCTTCGACTACTTAATGTAGCTATTTTGTTCGGTTTTATAGCGTTTTAACATTTTCTATTTTTTAGACTTTTCAAAGATTTACTCTAATCTTTATTCCTTATAGGCTGCTTCATGGATTAAAGAAGGTCATCATTTATTGAAGACAGTAACACCACCGAATAAGCTCACTACAATGAATTTAGTGGAATGTCGGTCACGTATGGATGAATTGATTACATTTACTTCTTCACGTCAGAGTAGATTAGAGTTACTTCGAAATCCTAAACTGTTTCATTCACGATTAGTTGGATTATTAGACGCTGATTTGAAGGTGGGTTTTGTTTAATTATTATCGTGAAACATTGCTACAAATTCTCTTTTCTATCATATTCATTCTTTAAATTAAAATGTTTCTAGTTTTAAATAAATGATAAATAATTGAAATGAAATTCACATGACGGTGATCTCTACAAACAAAACATGTATCACTTTAAAAAACCCCATAGAATAATTCAAAAAAGAGAATTATTTGTTTTTGAAACATGTATCATTCTGTAAACCTCGTATATTTCGTGAAATAAAATAATCTACTAATACCAAGAAAGTCGAGTGCTTTTTTGGTTGGAATAGTCTTTTCTCTATTATCATTTCGTAATGCTTGAAGATTCATATTTATGACATAGTATCTTGATAGGACTTTGGTTCCGTGCTGTCAGCTTTTAGCATCGATGAAAACTGTAGTTCAAGGCTTGAGCCCTTGAGATGTTGGAAGTCGATGGTTTAAGATAATGGAATATAGCTCAGAATTCATCACCATAATGCTGATTCTCGTACTTTTTATCCCTTATTTTTAACTTCTCAACTATGTTGTCACCATGAATGTGATTCACTTGATAATTACAAGTTTATTAACCAGCATTTGGGTCACATTTTTCTGTGCAGTCTGATGATACTACCAAGTTGTCCAAGTGGGAGTTTGGGGAATAGGGTTTGAATCTACGAGCAACTCGTTATATTCGGGATTATTTAACCACTAATTCAACCCCTCACTTATTACCATTGTTTTAATACAAAAAACTTAATCAAAGGTCTATCTGTACATACTCTGTAGTTCTGCAGTGTCAAACATTGCCAGTAAAACTGCTTCAGTAATAATCTATTCCCCTGTAAGACTATATTGTATACACATATTGGTTTGGGAATAGTAATAATGTGATTTCTAATCCTCATTGTGAATCTAATTTTATATCTCTTTACGATACACTGATTCCGCAATTGAAGATTTTAATTATGATTGTTTTATTCTAGTGTTTTCAATTGATATCCTTCTATGCATCGATGTGTTGTTTTTATTTTTAATCTGTAGAGTCATTTAAGTAAATTATTGAAACAAGTAGAAGATTTAGCACAAAATTGTAATCTTGCTATTGCTTCAATTCGTCAACACATTTCACGAACAAGTTTCCCAAGAAATCATCCCAACTCTAAATCTTTTAATAGTAGTACTAATAGCAGTGGTAGTACTTTGACTAGTCCTGGGACAAATTCACCTATTCAAGAAGCTATTGAATCAGCATCATCATCTTCAGAAGTAAGTTTTTATTTCTAATACTATATACTCTGACTACTTTCCCATAGATCTTAGAGTTAAACAATATTTTCAAACTTTTTATTCATGAATTAATGAAAAATTCATCAAATAGTGGTTTTTAAAATCACACTTGTATTGATCATTCAACATAGATGGTTTTGTATGATGAATTTTCCGATTTGAATTATTGTTTTATAAATAAATAGCATACTTCTGTGAGTGTTGTTAATTTGCTGAAGTTTATAAACCATCAACTCACCAAATAATACTTCATACTTATATGCGACTTTAAGTCACACATTTTATGTAATAGGTAGTGATATCACTTCAAGTAAGCGTAACCATTGTTTGAACCTTCAACGCAGTCGTCATAGGTTGAGTGTTTTAATGACTAAGTTACTTCTCCTTTGAGGTAACTATTCAGTAGGCCTACATTTCTGCAGTGTTTGTGTCACTTCTGTCAATCTACGGTTTACGTTTTAACGTCATGAATTTTTAATAACAGATCAAGCGAACTAACCTACTGTATCTACATTGAACGGGACTGGAAGTTCTACTCATTTATAACCTCGTACGATTTTATATTTTGTTGGGAGAATCCTATTCTTACTATGCTAATTAAAGTTTTCTGCTTTTATTAAATGTAGGGTCTTAACAGCCACAATAACAAAGTTTCCAATTCCATTCAAGGCTCAAACTCAACTTCATATCAGCTATCACAGTTAGAATCTCCAACTTCATTATCAACTCCAGGTAAACGATATCAATTAGCATGGAAAGAACTGGTAGATACAGAAAAATCTTATGTGAATTTTCTACAGCATGTTTATGATGTAAGTTCAGTATGTTCCAATGTATTATCAAACTACTATTAAGTGATGCGGTTATAAACCTCTTGTTTTTTGCTGGTAATTCTTCATTGCATCTCTTACAACTGATTAATTTTAGCTTTCTTCACGCGGTACACATACTGCACATAGTCTTCAGGAAAATACGCCTGTTGTAGTGATTGTTTATGTGTAGTGTGTTCTGTGCTTAGACAGTGAAGGTTCGCTCTGACGTTTATAAAATTGACAATAAGATCTGAGTTATTTAATTATTGATCATTATCTTTGTATTCTACTAACTGTATCTAAGAGATTTGACACCATTGTTGTGTGTATCAAAGATACAAAAAATACCACAGTCTGCAAATGGTTTTCTAACTTATTAGCTTGATATATCATTTTTTTAAAAGAGAAACTTGTCAATTAACTTCCATTGTTTACTTACTCTCACTGTATAGGAATTGTAAATGTAAACATTTTCTACCGAAATATTTTCATAAGATAAATTGTATTGTTTATTTTAAAAATTCAACCTTAGTTTATTGATTTTCAGATGAAAATAAATAGTTCATTTTTTAATTTTTAACTGATTAATAGATAAGTTTAAGAAATGCTTGTAGTTGAAATATTCATGTGTTTAAGAACAAAACCTTATCAAATATGAATCCTTTCTTTCTTATCTTAGTGTTAGACCGTTTTCATTTGAAAGTTGAAAATTTGTATTTTTCCATATGGTGGAGATTCGTAGCTCAGGTGGATAATTTTGATGAAGTTTTGTTATCTGAGCTGGATGTTTTGGTCGCGGAGCTTTCATCGTTCTTCTGAACGATATCATCAGCACAAACTTCAAGTAGAAGTGAAGTGTTCAAATTTCTGCACATGTGGTTCACAGCTTGTCCTGTGAACTTCGATGTTGATTGGCTCTTGTTGACCTTAAACCTGTTATTGTTTACTTATTTATTTTGGTTGTATCTCCCATTGGCTTGGTTTTCTGTCCTATGTCTTTCCGTAATTTTTCTGATTGGTTGATAAATTGGATCGATTCCAATGTGCTTGCTGATTGCTGACTGATCCGAGTGACAAGCCGCCCCAAAATATTCTCTGGTGTTTTTAGTATTGCCCCTACCAAGATCTCCACATATTTCCAGTTGAATGTGTATCCATAGTTGTCCACGTGCATTGATATAAGTGAGGATATGTTATGGCGCTTGACCTCTAATTGATGTTCATATAGACGAAGATGAAGAGGGCGTATTTTTCCATACTATAGTGCATGGCTGAGACAGTTTCTAGGTATTGAGTGACAGGGTAACTTGATTCGGAGCCCAAGTAACCAGTAATTATGTGACCGTTTCTTTTAAATTTCCAATTTAAGTGGAAAAAAGATAGTAAACGTTCTTTGGATGTAAACCTATATCTCTACTTTCCTCTATTTATTCCCTCATTTTTTTACCTATCTTTTCCTTTATATCACCACAAAGTTGTCTTACTGGTTTTCATATGATATCTGTTTATGTAACACTGATTGTCCAGTGATTTTATCGGGTGAGAATGATTCCCCGAATCCACTTGTGTTCGAGTACCTTGCTCCAGACTGTTCAGCAAATCAGAGCTCATTGATTTCCTAAAGTTTATTAAGTACTCGCTTAGTGGTGAAAGCACTTGTTTTCTAATCAGTAGGTCACAGATTCAAGCGTCGCTCTAAGTAGTTTGATAGTGTCCTTATTCTTCATCCAAACAGTATGGCTCCATGCAAAGCAAACTAGGTGGAAACCTGTGTTTGGTAAACGGGTTGAATATTAGTGCGTATGTGTTAGTGCGCAAAATTCAGTACTATTTTCTATGTGGATATCGTTTTCAGCATGGGCTGACATTATTACCACGGTTATTATGTGATTCCCGACCCCTATTGATGAAAATTTAGGAGCATGATTATAATTATTTAATGATAAGTGATTTGTTAGCTTTTATTTCGAAATCTGCGCTCGTGTTTCTAGGAACAAGCATTCTTTTACTTGTGATAATTTGTTTATTGGCTATAAATTGTGCATTGTTGTAGTATGATTAGTTAAAATCAATTTAGCATAAACTGTTTTGATTGAATGTTAGAACTCACATTTTAATTTTATTTTAATAAAAACTGTCAGACGAATCCATCATCGTTTAATATAAAACTGTAACTTCTGAAAAAAGCCACATCAATCATATTAGACCGGGGTATTCTACAACTGGCTGTTAATAGATATTGAGATCCAAAACGAAATTAATTTTCTTATTGATCACGTGGAAACAGAACTCAGTTTGTGTCCTTATTTCAATTGAAACCGGCAATAATTGTGATGAGAGAAAGGCTATGTATATCATTAAAAGTAAAATGGAAAAAATAACTTTCGAACAAGACACAGATTTGTAATTACAATAATGATTTTTGTGCCTGAAAGCTAATAAAATTCTTAATACAAGAGGAGAGAACTGATTTTCTTTTCAGCATTCCAACGAATCATTTTAACATATCGTTTGAGCTTGTAATAATCGTTATATGTGTTTAAACATGTGAATAAATCACTGTTATAAGATCATGTAAAAGGTTTATTTAATTCGTCCATGACAATTCCAATCAGACTCCAGTTATTGGTTGAGCTGTTGAAGAATTACAGAAATCGTGAAAGTAGTACTGAAATTAAGTGACGAATAAAGAGTATGGAGATTGGTATGGCCATTAGATCCATATCTAAGGTCATAGTTTGAACGAGAAATAAATTCTCGTTTCTGGTTTGTAAGGACACCTTGTGTCGCATATTAAAGACATCCTGCTGATTTCAGCTATGTCAGTAAACCTCTCAGAAAGCAATATTACAGAATTGATCAGCTTACATTCATCAATTAGTAATTGTAGATCATGTAGCTAGTGCCAAGTAAATTGTTAACGTTCATGTTGTAACGTGTGGACTGCAGGTTTTGATAAGCAGCGTTTATATCGATCGATTACAGTGACACGGAAAACACGTAGTGGACGACCCAGTGCCCTGATTGGTCCCGCTTCCATGTCTAGCCCAGCCAGTTGATTTCGGTGGTGCTACAAATCTTCTCCACCATCCCAGCCAGTTGAGTCCAGAACGCAAGTCACAACCTCTGAGTTATGAATCATTATATTTCAGACATACTCTATTTATATACCAACCAAACAGACCACATCGTACCATAAAAATAGAAAACAACATCTGTACAATATTTAACGAATGAAATAAATCATGGCCAATACGGAATGCCCATTAAGAGTCCAAGGACATCATTAGACTTAACATGATAATGATTGGTATATTATTCTGCATCCATAACAGTTCACAGCTAGAAGAGTTGAATGTTGAGGAAATCATTACTTTTAATATTACTCTTCGAAAAATAATAACCGATAGCTTCCTTTGCAAAACTGTTCATTTTATTGAACAAAACGGGATGAGAAATTTTTTGATCTAAAAAATGTACCAGAATCACCGTGATGTAAATACTGTTTTTCATTTTGAACGTCTCTGGCGGTCTTATTTCATTCTTGTGAAACCATTTTTACTTTTTGATCACAAAATTAATTTTCGTCCAATACATCACATTGTCATCCAAACATAGTTTATTCATCTTTGTTTTCAAACAAATAGTGATATACAAACTAGTCTTACATAATTCACCTTATCTCTCTCCCCTTTGTACTTTTACGTTTGATATTCAGATGGGTAAGCTAATAATTTGTCAAATGGTCCACTAATTTCGTCTTGTTCCAACATTACTTTCAGTCCTATAGACGAAGTTATATCTTTGTGTGTCTTTTTGTTTGTATCTGTAGTTCAAATCCAGCTTGACATGACATATTTATATAAATATATATATATATATATATATATATATATATATATATATATCAGTGTTTATATACTACTAGCTAATGGTGTTAGGTTTGGTTTTTCAGTTGTTGATCAGTTTTTGTCTTTACTAGTTATCCTTCACAGTGTTTGTTCGCTGTAATTTGACTTACTGAAGTTTTGTTTAGTAATAAAAATACATGAAAACATTATTGTTAATTGTGTTTGTTTGTGTAGGGCTTGTTTGATCTTCCTGTCTTTCTGTGAATAGTTTTAGTTGATCGTAAGGAATCATTTATTGTTTTTATCTATAACTTATTTCTCTGATTGAGTCGATTTCAGACGACACGCAATCATCGATAGTTGTGTAATCTGCTTTTTGTTTTCAAAATATTTATATCAGTGATTATAATATTTGGATGGAATCCAACAAGAACTAAGATCTGCTTGCCTTTTTTTGTTATGAAAATAACGTTGTAAACAGTTGTCAATGTTCAATAATCGTACTAATTGATTTTTAGATGAAATAACAAGTTTTCTGCATAGTTGTTTTTCAGCGTGTACGTGTTTATGTTTATGTATAGGGTAAGTACATACCTTGTACATATGGGGCTGATGTGCAAGAATTCAACTGTTCACTAATAAAATGATCAAAACTTATTCAAACATACAATGGTAAAAGTGTTGATAAGTCTTTTTTTAGTACTTCTTACAGACGTATTCCATTGATTGTTGTTCGTAATGCTGTCGTTGTAGTTATTAGTGCTGTATGTGTTTTGATAAAATGAACACTTATCGAAATCTTCCACTTCTTGTAAGTAGTAGTCAAGAGAATCACGATAGTGATGGATTTTCAGTTAAAATATTTCGGCTTTGAAAGTTAGGTCGTATTTCCGAACATTACTCCAGCTTATTCAGGTTACTTGCCGAGTAGCACAAAGATATAGCGTGGATGCGTACTGCTGAGGGATTCCGTACTAGAATTAAACGGCCGTTTAGTGCTTCAGGGTTTTTAACGATGATTCATTATTTTTAATGAAATTCAATAGTCTCCGCAACACTGTACTGAAAATATGCAGTATAGTTTGAATAATAGTGACAATAATCAATAAATCAATTTCTGAACTGTCTATTTGATGAAAATTAGAAAATTACCAGTGTATCTGTACTTATAGGATATTTGTATACAGAATTTATTCAAAATTCATCCAATTTTTTAAACGAAATATCTATTGAGTAAATTTTTCGCTAAAAGTATAGTGTACTGACAACCTTGAAATGACCAATCGGAATTAAGATAAACCCTCGTGGATTTTACGCAAAGTATGAAGCGCAGTGATGGATTACTTGTATATCATTATCAACTAGATGAAAACTGTTAATGATTGATTCTTAAAATGCTCGGAATCAATAGAAATAAGGCAGATTGTTTGTTACAGTGCTTAATTATTATTTCAACACAGATATTGGTACAAAGAGGCACCAGATACATATGCGCCACACAAATCTCATTCGAAATGTGTGAGGGCTGTGATACTGCCCGGACACCCAAATCGAAGCAGGTGGTTTTCTTAGGGGGCCACTCCCCGAGCCTTCGACCTGAAGGTCTGATCCACAAGGCACTGGAGAATCGTCAGGAGATGCAGTCCCATGGAAGCCGGTGACCAACGATTGGTTCATACGCCATTTGTTCCCGCAGGATACTGTAGCCCATGTGCACCATTGGTTTGGAATCCGGTTAAAGCGCCGGACATTCGCTTTTCGTCCTCTCATTTTCGTAAACAACACCCCCGCCACGAGAAGGCAGTGAGTAGGACTTCCCTGGCAGAGGCTGTATACGCGTGGCCGTGTGAGAGTATTTCGAGAGGGAGGGCGGACTCTCCCCACTCTCGGCCGTACCAGGGCATTTGGGGGCACAGTGCTTAATGTGATTCAATGAGTAGTCAAGAGTATTTTGTGAAGCTATGTAGTGTTCGTCCTTTCTAACCCTTCCTCTAAATCTCGACTTTAAGTGGTAAAGCACTGAATTATAACTAATGTCAGTACTTATCAAAAATGGAAACCTTAATTTTTAAGCCTGACTCAAAACGTCAACCTTATTCTTAATGCTTAACCCAACCTTCCTGCTCTATAATCGATGTCAGTTAGTAACAAAAATTCTATGAAATGATAACCCTTATTCAGAATACTTTCGTAACTCCTCGTATGTAAATGTGATCTCTTTCCCCTACCAGAAAGAATAATTTTGCATGTAAAGGTTAGTTATTCAGATCATAGCTGTTATTCTACTGTTTATTATTGGTTTCTATTGTTTATGTTTTTGCAATTATGCATTGTTCCCTGATTGACTGATAAATCCCCCAAGTTCATCATTGCATCATACTCTTATCAATTTTCCGTCAGGTGATATGCTATTTGGCAAAAATGTTTTGATTTTGCTTTTTAAAATTTACTTGATCATGATCATAATAAGTGTAGTGTCCAAAATATTCCATTGTGATTTTAAATTAATTAATTTAGACTTTCAGTTAAACAGGCTAAAATATGAATATTTGTTGAATTCTATGCATTTTCTATATATATTATTTGCTTTTTAGGTAGTGTGGTTAAATTCTATTGATAATGCTAATAACGACGAACTGGGGACTCGTTCGCATCCACAGCCAACATTTATGCGTGATAATCAAAATCGTCTTTTGTGTAATTGGCCGGAATTATTACGTTTCCACAGAGAGTAAGGATTGGTTTAGCTTTTTTTATTATTAAAAAAGAGCTTTTTTCAGAATGTGATTATCTGTTATCTGCTTTTACTTGTCATTTATAATTAGAAGCAATTGTTTGTACCGTTATATTTTCAATATCCTATTTTGCATACTTAATGTATCAAAGAGAGTTTCTGAGATATTCATGACAGATATTTCCTTTTCACGGACTAACTTGGCGGTTCGATGTCGGACGAGGGCTTGCCATGCATTCAATTTACCATTACTAACTTTTATCACTTGTAGTGTAGGTAAGATGTTCACCTATTAACTAAAAGGCGTGTAGATGCAGACTGACGGGTTGGGGTTCATGTGATAAGTAAGATCAGTGATTAGAGATGTTGTGTAACCCAGCTCAGAATCATCCACAGCGGTCCAGGTGCATTTACTCCCTATCTTTCTCCCTATATTGACTTCCAATATTCCTTCATTCATTCCTTTCATTATTATTATTATCATTGGCTTTATTCAATATTATATTTTTGGTACAATATAGAATTCTCAACACAATGTATTTCGACAAGTATTCTTTTCTTATTTATTGATCTGTCCTGACGATAAATATTGAAACCTTGCGGTGATACTAAGCAATCTTCTTGTAAATCATTTAACCAGGATTCTTGGATTGTGATACATGTTTAGACTTAGTGGGAATTGAATGTACTCCACGTTGCCAATTAGTGATCTCCAGTTAGATATTAGCAGTTCAGGAGTCGACATGTGGATAGTGTTCATTCTTTTCAATGCATATTGCCAGCCACCATGATGTCTCTATTCGTACTTTTTTGTAACTAGTATGGCGAAATATCGTAAAGTTTTCGTAGACGCACCTGCAATTAGTAGACATAGCGATGTGTTAGAACATAAAGAAACAGATATCCTGTTGAAATATCTAGATGGCGTAAACAGGTAGCACGTATACTTAAGCAGGCTGCCAGTGGTTGTCGATTGAATTATATACTCAGTGTTTATTTTCAAGATTATTGTTATTCATACCGTATCATTTTGATCTCGTCTTGCTCATGTGGAACGACTACTCGAGCCTATCCACATATGTCGAGATCTACGTTGTTAATGACTGGCTGAATTTAGTGTTAAAATCTAAGCGTGTTTTGATAGGGAACTGAGAGTTTCACTTATTAAATACATCAATGGGCTTTTTTCCATTTCTCTATGTGTTCTGGATTTTATTGTCGACTTTCCTGTCATTTTATTATTATTTATTAATTAATTGACAAAAGATAACTTGATGAAATCAATCAGGTGGTTGTTAAATTTTACCAAACTTTTTATTCTGAAATTAATTAAACCTACTGGATTTATCTTGTAAACCGATGAAAAAAGGACGTTACACAAAAAAGGTTAAACTGTACAAAAGTAAAAGTCCTAAACATTGGGATTGTTAATTGTTGTTACATAGTGACTACTTGTTGTGGCTTGTGAAATATTTTTTTCTATTTTAAGGTACGAACGATTAAGAGACTTCTAATTTAAAACGGAATCTGCGCGAACTAGTATTTATTTTATTATTATTTGAACACATAAATGTTGGTATGAGGGGGCACCAGATATATATGCGCCACACAAAACAATGAGAATGGGAAGAGGAAAAAAAGGTAAAGTGCGTATAAGAAAAAAAAGCAATGACGACCACAGCTAAGTGTAAGGTAGTGTAATAGTAATAAAAATAATAGTAATACTAATGATGGGGGAAACGGAAAGGTACAATCAGAAGAGATCTTTCAGTTAAGGATGTTACAACCACTTTTTATGAAGAAAGTAAAAGAAGGTTACAGCAGGATCGCCACTGGCTTCTGTTCTTAACCGTATCTGACAACGTCTCTAGCCACTGTGTTGCACCATTTCTCTGACCACAGACAGGGAGTCGTGAAGGACCGACAGAAGCCAGTCCTTTGCAGCTTTCTTTCATACCCAGAAACCATATCATACACTGACCACCTCTCCGCTTTTTCCAACCAGTCCCAGCGTCGGCAAATAACGCACAACGTGGGATTCTCTGAAGCAACGTTCGTAGAACATGTCCAAGACACCGAAGTCGGTGTTTCAAGATGGTGACACCAATTGCATTATCGTCTCTGTGCCCGAACACACGATGCCGAACCTATGCGTTACTAACATGGTGTTGCCACTGGATGTCAGCAATCCGTTGCAGACAACGATGAACAAACACAAAGAGTCGTCTAACATCCTCAACTCGGAGAGGCCAGGTTTCACAAACATAGTGCAAAACTGCTCTCACTGATGCGTTGTAGATCCGAACATTTACAGCCAGACTAACATCACGAAGGCGCCAAAGATGGTCCAGATTGGCATAAGCCGCTCTGGCTTTCACTATACGTGCATTGATCTCATCACTCACACCCCCACCAGCACTTATGCAGCTACCCAGATACACGAACTTCTCGACTACTTCTATCTGCTCACCATCCAGAGTGAGTACAGGATTAGAATCCTGTCAGTCTTGTAGAAATACTTTGCATGTCGAAGGTGCAAAGCACATCCTATACCTACGGACACTGATTACCAACTGATTAAGTGCAGATTGTATTGCTTGGGCATTATCGCACAGTAAGACAATATCATCCACATACTCAATGTCGAGAACTTCTCCAGGCAACAGATCCACACCACCATTACTTACATCCATCAGAGCTGTTTCCAGTATTTCATCGGTGGCAAAGTTGAAGAGGAATGGTGAGATTGGGCAACCCTGCCTAACCCCACTGCTCGAATGGAACAATAGAGAGAGGTGGTTGTATGCCTTCACTCTGCCTGAGGTATTTGTATATAGGGCTTTTAGGATGTTAATAAACTCCTCAGGCACACCCTTCTTCAATAGACAATCCCAGAGAACAGTCCTGTTCAACGAATCGAAGGCAGCTGTGATGTCAAGAAACACTACGATTGTTGGCCTTTGATAAGTATGACGGTGTTCTAACATTTGGCGGAGGGTGAGGATATGATCAATACATCCTCGACCAGAACGAAACCCAGCCTGCTGCTCGCGAGTCAATCTTTCTCGGGTTCTGAACACCCTACGAAGTATGACGGAAGCCAATAGCTTGGACGCAATCGGAAGTAGACCTATCTCCCAATAGTTGCTACAGGGACTACGTGAACCCTTTTTAAAGATCGGAAGAGTTATATATAGCATGCGATCTCTAATAATGCATATATGATTGAGCATTAGAGAAGACAGGTCTTAGGCAGAGCTTTAATTTTTCCATAATAACTCAAATATGTGTTACAATAGTTGTATATGAGCAACGACTTTGTAGACCTGATAAAATTGCAAAGTAAAAGAGAAAGTAAGCAATAGGAGAATAGCAAAGGTCATTTTGGTAATGTTCACCAAAAGTTTGTGATAATTTATTTATCCGTCAGGATTATTAAGACTGAAGAACAATTTTTCTAACAAGTACAACAAGGCTCAATAATACTAAGTAGTTTTTTTCATATAAAAACATTAAATTTCAGTTAGTGAATAAAAATCCATTTATACTTAGCTTGCATATATGGCGACCTGTAGATTCATATGAGAAAATATTGTAAAGCATTTCCAACGGGTTTTCAAGGGCCATCCAATCAGGTTTGAACACAATATTAGTAAATATTAACCCACGCTGCTATACTTCATATCAAAATAAAAAAAACCCAATTGAAATTTCACTTATGCGATTTCGATTAAACTAAGACAATATAATTCTATCTGGAACGAAGAAATTTGAAATGTCAGCATAGATTAACATTATTACTCAAAATTTATAGAAATCGACCTAATTATGGCATATATACGATGGCTGTTTAAAACATAAAAACATCACCGAGATGTATATTCCTGGTTTTTTCTTGTAAAAATTGTTTCCTTTTGCTGAATTCCTTTTGATTCTATGCTTTTTAGTGTTGACCCTTTTGATAGAGCATTTTTATTGTTTTCTGTATATGGCTTAAATCGATCGTATATCTTTTTACTAAAGAATTTTATTCTTGGGAAACACTGGTCTTTATCATACTAGTTTGTGTTAGAAAATAAATTATAGTTGTTTTGAAGATTATATCTACTTAATATAGAAATTTAAGTGTAGTTGATATATGTCACACATTAACTTGTTTATATGTTTTTACTAATATTTCGTCAGTTTTAAAATGATTGGAGTTAGTAATCGGTCTTTTTTTTACAGTCCCGTTTTTCTTTTTCTCGTCTCTCTTTTTACCTAGCGTATTACTACCGCATTTAATATTATGCGATGGAAATTCAGGAAAAATTAAAAACTGGGCATCTCACATGGTATGCTTGTCTTAATTCTCAACTAATATTTTATTTTGTCAATTAACTTACAAGCGATTGTGTGTCTTTGTTTTATCGATGAAAATATTTAGTTTTTTTATTGATTAACGTCAATTAGTATACGGCTCGTTTGATAGTGGATTTTACCTGTCGTATTGTACTCTAGTATTTATGTGCTAACCTGTCTATATTCTGATTGAGTGTTAGCTGAGTTGCTGAAGGACTAAAAGTTTAACTAATGTGTTGATTGTTTGAACATTATTGCACCTTATTCGGTTTGGACAATCGGGTAGTGTCACTAACATTCACATAAGCCTATGTAGTTCAAATCCAACTACATACACCTGTATTTGGTAAATGATTAGTTAATAACGGACTACTGTAAAGAGTCTATGTTATCTAACCAAATCGATGCACTTTTGAAGTAAACTTGTAATCAATATATGTTATAGTAGATATACACTAGTGTAGGTTCAACCGCTTACTATCCACTTTGTTATGTCCGATAGTCTATAAGTTCGTGTAAAATATCAAATCAATGAATAAACTTGTCTTATAATTTTTTCATAGCCTTTGCCTTTCGCATGTGTTTATAGGTCATTGAGATAATATTTCAGTATTTGCGTCGATTGCAGCTTTATCCATGATTCTATCTTCGTAAGGTATATTTGGATGAAGATATTTAAAAGAAAGAATTCATATGTTCCCTCAATCGGTTGGTTTAAAGTTCAGTAATGCATGAGAAATGTTTAAACATTATAATTTTAGGAACTCTATTTGACATATCCCAGTCCGCTTCATTTTTTTTCCACGTAAATAATGATTTGGAATGAAGGGCTATAAAAAAATTTCTATTGTTGTCTTCCATCTATAGGTCCCATATCTGGTAGACTTATACACAATTTATTGTTCGCTTCATGATTGTGCAGTTCAACTCGGTGCTGCCCTCGAAAAAGATCGCATTTATTCTAGCTGGTTAACTGCATGCAATGAAGAGGTGTATCGGAGAGAAATGTCAATAACAAAAATGAATGATTCCGAATCTTCTGTCCCACCTACTGAACTAAATCGTCCCATATTACTGTTTAGTTCTCGTCTTGTGACACCTGTACAGCGTTTTCAACGATATCATTTACTATTGGATAGACTTGTTCAACATGAAACAAATGAACTTGACCGGTAATTTTTCGATTATCTCATTTTTTGGGAAATACTATAGTTAGCTGTCCACTTATTGATGGTATGAAACTAACTAAAACCAAGTTATTTTGTATTAATGTTATAACATAAGGCAACACAGTTTTTTGATCATAGATTTTCTCTTCCGATTTTATCTGTCAATTATAAGACGGCGGATAGGTAACGGGTATTTCATGACTCCACTCAAGCCTGTGTTCTGGATTCCATGATTCATCAGTTCAAGTAAAAATATTACTTTGAATTTCGGCGTGTTTATCTTATTTGCTTCTTCGTAATTATGAAGCTGTTTAAATATAAACTAATTGTATACTTCAGTAGTGACATGAGCAAGTTTGTTATTACCTAGCTCTACTATATGGTCAGCCTTATTCAAAGCTTAGTACACAAACGTGTATAGTGTTATTGAGTTGCATTAGCTTATCATTAACACAGCAGTGTTTATTCTTCCCTTTCATCTTCCATATTCACTGCCAGATGTATTTAGAGATTTCAAGCAAAGTTTAGTCTCTGGGTTTCTGTAAGTTATTTCATTGTGCTCATCATAGGTAGAATAACGAAATATAAGCTTAGCATTTATCAAAAGTCTGTCCTACTAACATAGCTCTGGTAAATATTCACGTCTTTTCGTCAATATCTTCATGAATTCTTAACAATTCATTACTGTCATTGTTTCATCGAGTATGGTGTCTTATTACAATTGACTGGCCCGAGACTGATATTCAAGTTAATGTGCATGAAGTGGATGAAATCACACAGCAGGATATCAAGTTGTGTTGTATGCCTTGTTGATTGTAGTTAAAAAAATGTTACCCCTTGAAATTAAACCTAAAAATCCAATAGCTATGATGCCCTTAAAAAAATCTTCCAGGTTTCAGTTTGTTTTCAGTAGGAAAGTATATATTTTCAATGTAAGTAGATTTCCTTGACAAGTAGTAACAAATCATTTGCTATTAAATTTCACTGATTTTGCAAAATTATTAAATCAACATTAATTGCACCTTGAATAATCTTCTGTTTACCTCTGTGATTAATCCAATAAGCTCAACGGTAGGTCGACTAGGTAGCTCCCTCAAATATGTTGATACGTCATGCTGCTAAGTATTGACAATCGTTAAATTTAGATCAATGTAACCTTACAAGTCTACTCCATATATCTAATATCTAAACAAAACACTATCGTACCACGTCGTGTTGTATAATTACTAATCACCCCAGTATTGTGTTACAATCAGGCGATGAATCCTTCTTTTTTCTTATCAAAACCAGTCCAAATATTAACTTATTTTTCGTAGTATTTATATTAGTTGTATTATGTTGTTTGTTAATTATTTAGCTGTGACCTACAGTCGGCCCATAAAGCTATTTTGGAATTATGTGAAACAGTGAATATTGCTATGCAACTTCGTGGTTTATCGGTAAATTTTTAAAAAAGTTAATGAATATTTCCTAATTATCAGATAAATAATGTCTGTATTAGGATGATGTTGAAAAGTTGTAGGTATTGTTAGTAAGCTAATTAAGCAGTAAATTATTTTGGACTTACTCATACACAAATACAAATAGTCAGTTAAACAAAGTACGTAAAGATAATGAACTATTCAAGAATAACCAAGGTTATTAAAACAAATTTTTATAATAGCGTTCATTATTAACTCATTCAACTGAGAGAACACAAAATAAAAATAAAAAGTATCTCCTATCCAAATATTCAATATTCTAATTGTAGCCACAAATAGTTGGTATTATAACCATTATTATAAACTTTGGATAGAAAAATATTAACACATAGATCATATTTTACCCCAAATTAACAAGCATCTCATTGTATAATATTGGAATTTAAAGTATTACCGCCTCCACTGTGTATTGAGCTCTCATGTACACGATGATAGAGAAGTCATAATTTACTCAGTAGCACTGTTTTTCTATTTGTTGTCTATACTAATTGGGTACATGCTTGATCATACGCAATTATAGATAGATTTCACATGATAACTAACTGATTGGTAGATGAATGAATATGTCATCAATATTTTATTATTTATGTAATTTTCGTTCCAAATTCAGTATATGTATGCTTCAACTTAGTTTCCAGTAGTTTTCATCAGTATCATTGTATTGCTGTTTTAAAAACTACAAATTAGCTAAATTCATTCAAATTTTTTAATAACTGCTATAAAGTTTTACATTGATTCCTTTCACAAATATTTTTCATAAAGGTTCGTCCATCTGCATTGGGTCCATTTCTATTGCAAGGAGATTTTACGATATCTCGTGATGATGTACGATTTATGCCTAGCAAACAACGTCATGTTTTCTTATTTACTAATGCTATATTACTCACTAAATATCGTACTTCACCCAATTCATTTATACCTGTTTTGATTAATCCAAGTACAGTGATAAATTCTGCGATTTCAAATATATCACGAGATCATTCCATTGATTCGTATGAAAAATCTACAAATACTTATTCAGCATACAATCAATCTAATAATGGATTAGGTACAACATCCAATTTATTGGCTTTCACTAAATCACTTACGTCTAGCAGTGGAAACAGTAGTAATAATCTTACTTCAACTAATATTCCGACTTTTACTTATCGTCCATATTATGAGATTAAACAAGAATTAGAGGTAAGTGTCAGCACATTAGTAATATATTGCTTTTATTCCTATTAGTATGATTAGATATTATCCATAATTTTCTTTTAATTCGTATCATAAAATTTATAAAATCACTTTGCTGCTAACCAGTATCTTCAATAAATTTCAAAACAACTATTTTCTCACTTCACTGTGCTCCTACGTTCTTTGTTAATTCGATAGAATAATCGAATAATTTTAATATCATATTCATAAACTTACTGGATCGCAAGGTTGTTTATAGTGCTTTCACAGATTAAACATGTTATCTTTTCTAACTGTAACCTTGAAGCAAAACCTTTTGTTGTATTACCATATTGTTTACCCGAGGTTGAATAACCTAGTGTTGAGCGTTTAGAGAAGTTAACTAAAAAGTCAATGCAATTATCGTCTAGTATTCAGGCATAAAATTCAAGTTATTTCTCCATACATTTCATTTCTAATGTCTAGAAATGCTTTTTTCGAACAAATGTAGACGTTCTACTTATGTAGAATTCAGTGTAAAATGAATTGGTAATTGTAAATCACAAATTACAGCTCAGTTGGTTCACACTTTGTCGAAGTTCACTTGTCGTTTACTGGTTTACGTATTAAACCTTCAATTATTAGGTTAAAACTCTGAAACTTTACCTATCACGTTTATTTGTCAATCAGATAAATAAGTAAAACAAATAACCTTATTTTCAAAACTGTAGTCACTGAATTCTATGTCCTTTTTTCCAGTTTATCGTAGCGAACATGTTCACTTCATAATTTTAAGTAAGCGTAACTAAAGAACTAAGTATAAATTTACGTGATCAATCTCATGGGACACATTGTTTAAAGATTATTGCAACTACCAGACTTCTTATAACTAAACTGATTTATTTATAAGGTTAATGTTTATTTGTTTGTTTTATATCCTTTTGTGTGTTTAGCTTTCCAAAATCGGTTTGACTCCTCATTTCCATGGGGACCGTCGTCGGTTTGCTATATGGACAGCTAAACGCGCAGTCACTTATATTTTTCAATCATCTGATCCTGCGATCAGAGATGCATGGGTTAAAGCTATAAATGAATTATTAATGGTGCAATTAATTCGTGATCGTTATAAAGTTCTAAATAATACTGATATACAGAGTGCAAAAATATTATATACTGAACAACTCTCTTTCAACTCAAATATATCTGATCGTAGTAAAAGCTTACCAGTTAGTAGCAAAACGTTGCCACATAAGTAAGTTTCTCTTCGTAATTTAACTTTGATAATATACCTAGTAGGAGTATGCATGGCATAGCCTGTGAGAAAAATATTAGTTGAGTATTTATTTGTTAATTAACAATGTTGGCTATCTGTTTAAGCACTGAAAGATCCTTGTACATTTGTATGGTAGGTTTTACCCTCGTTTTTTTCTATAACTTAGCCTTATGTTCATTCATCGAGTTCATCCGAATATTTGTTTTCCACTGTGTTATCCGTTTATACTTATGTAAGGGTCAATCCATTTTTTCCCGCATCTAAACCTGAAGCCTACGTTTTAAAACGTTTGCCATTTCAAACATCACCCTACCTGCTTCAGTTTAACCTACTTGGCGGTATAATTAGCCGTCACGTAATCAATACACCTAAAACTCATATGCATGAATTAGTATTATAAATTGAGTAGCAGTAAAATTCTGGTCACTAAAAAGAAGTTGTGGCTATAGGTATGAATATTCCTCGATGCATTTTAACTTAGATACCTTTATAATATCTATAACTGTTAAATTCTGCATATAAATCCTAACGTTACACGGTTTAATGATTAAATTTTTTTCAAATGTTAATGGTAATAATAATAATAATAATAATGATAATAATTATTTCAGTGTTTTAATTACCTTTCACCATGAAATGTAGCTTTATCTCTTTTGTTTAATTACTTAAGTTCTCATTACTAAGTTACAAATTCGGATTTATTCATTAACGTACTCACTTTTGGTCAACTGAAATAATAATATTGTTCAACCTTACACAGATTAAGTGAAAATAACAGTTTAGATTGTATAATTGTACATTTCATTGAATTCATACTTTTTAAGAAATTTTAGTTATTCAAATACAATGAACATATCGTATCTTTGATCATTACAAAATGGGGCTAATTATGTTGAATCCTGTCGAACAGTAATAACCGATGAAATATTTTTGATTTCATTAGGAATCTGAAATCATTCGTAAAATCTATCAGCGTTTAGGTTGGGAGAATTGTGATTCAGAATCAGTTACAATAGTTCAGAGTTACATTCACTTTTATTCTTTCCCTGCTCATTGCCTTTTCGCCGTGTGATTATTTACGAAATTGAGAAAACTGAAAGCAAATGTCCAGTGCTTTAACCGGGTTGTTGAATGTGGAGGATTCACATAACGGAGTTGAAAAACTCGGATTCCAAACCAATGGTGCACATGGACTTCAGGATCCTGAAGGAAAAAACAATGTATGAACCAATTGTTGGTGACCGGCTCCCATGAAACTACATCTCTTTATGTTGCTTCACTATCTTGTGGTTTAGACCTCTAGCTTAAATAGCCGGGGAGTGGCCTCCTAAGAAATCCACCTGCTTCAGGTTGTGCCCGTGCAGTATTCCAGTCCTCATACAAATAAATGATAACTATAACTGGAGAAATTTCTTTTGCTTCAACTCTTGTTCTGACAAATCTCATCCACAACCATATGATAACATTCGTTTTTATTTCTTTTATACTACATCACTTATGTTGTTCCTTTTATTGTCATTTTGCGTATTTTATTTTTCGACCTATACAGCAGCTCGCCTACGGTGGAAACTCTGTCCTATCTAAAGCTTCTCAAGTCACTAAGTGGTTGAAATTTGAATTTTACCACCGACTACGAATACTGAAGCAATCATTCTGAAACCGCGCATACCATTCAACTGGCCTTATTCAACTTTCGCACGCTAATGCAGGTCGGACACCAGATAGGGCTAACTGTGTCTTTCGAAAGTCCTAACATCTATGTCTGTTGTCTATCTGAGACCCATATTCAAGACTAGTAATGTACTACAAATTCACTCTCCATCTGTCCCTTCGAAAAGCCTGTTTTACGTGTATTTATCCGGGTACCCTATGGCATTTTCGTCTTGTTTTTCTGGCGTTGGTGCCGCACTAAGCGCTAGGACTAACGCAGCACTGACCTACTGGATCCTCATTAACAGTTGATTATGTACTGTCAGATTAGAAAGCTCTATCAAAGTGCGAAGAAACCGATGTGAGGGAAGATGTATTTTCGTCATCCCCGCCTATGCTCCGATGGGTTGCAACCTGGATGCGATAAAGTATGAGTTTACTACCAGTTTACTGTTCTTCTGCAGGAAGTGCCTCCGACAGATATTGTAGTACTAGCCGGAGACTTGAATGCTCAGGTCGGGCGTCTAGGCACAGAATAGAGTCGTTTAGGTGGCCGATGGCGACTTATCGGTCGCAGATGGGGGCTGACAGGATTCCCCAATCTCACCATTCCTCTTCAACTTTGCCACCGATGAAATACTGGAAACAGCTCTGATGAATGTAAGTAATGGTGGTGTGGATCTGTTGCCTGGAGAAGTTCTCGACATTGAGTATGTGGATGATATTGTCTTACTGTGCGATAATGCCCAAGCAATACAATCCGCACTTAATCAGTTGGCAATCAGTGTCCGTAGGTATAGGATGTGCTTTGCACCTTCGACATGCAAAGTATTTCTACAAGACTGACAGGATTCTAATCCTGTACTCACTCTGGATGGTGAGCAGATAGAAGTAGTCGAGAAGTTCGTGTATCTGGGTAGCTGCATAAGTGCTGGTGGGGGTGTGAGTGATGAGATCAATGCACGTATAGTGAAAGCCAGAGCGGCTTATGCCAATCTTGACCATCTTTGGCGCCTTCGTGATGTTAGTCTGGCTGTAAATGTTCGGATCTACAACGCGTCGGTGAGAGCAGTTTTGCTCTATGCTTGTGAAACCTGGCCTCTCCGAGTTGAGGACGTTAGACGACTCTCTGTGTTCGATCATCGTTGTCTGCAACGGATTGCTGACATCCAATAGCAACATCATTTTACTAATGCATAGTTTTCCTTTATATAGAACTTTATTCGTTATAGTTGTTATTCCACTGTTTTGTTTTCAATTTGTTTTCTTGTTATCAGAAATCAAACGGGAAAAGGATCAGTTGTATCATTACCATCTGTAGTTGATCAGAATTCCAACAATAAAATAACATCAAATCAATAATTAGTCAACAAATGATTTCTCCAACTGCGCAAATCTTAATCTTTTATTTCTTTTCTTTTCCATCCATTTTTATCATATTTTAATCTCAACTATTTGTAAATTTGTAAGTGTACGTGTACAGTTAGATTTTTGATTAATTATCACATCAACTTTTATTATTTTTCTGTTTTCGATCGTAATTACTATTTCTCCTTTGTAAATCCACTTACCTGACTAATTACCATTTGTCTTTAAAAATATGTGTTCATATGTCATCGTTTCTACTCTCGTTTCCTCTTCTTTCATTCGTTTTTTAATCTGTTATTTATCTTTTGATTTCATTCCACCCATCCATTCATTCATTTATACAATCCTCTTTCAAGTAATTTCATCACTGAAATAATCTCATTATCCCTAACTATTGTTATATTATACCTTCTTTGTTTATATGTGTATTTATGGGATAAATATGGAAAGTGTTTTCCCAAACATCCGTTTTTTTAAAAAAAAATTATTATTATGATTATTCTATCATGTTGTAAATTTTTCTTTTTTTTCTCTATTCAAGAAAAATTTCGTGTTTTCGAATAAACTTGTTGTTTATTATTTTTCGTTCTCTTTAATATTTTCGTTTCTTTTTTTCATAATAACTTACATTATCTATCCCTTATTATTCATCATAAGTTTTCATTGGTTTTTTTCTTTTTTCTTCAATTGGTTTTATTTTTTCTTATGCTAACAGTTATAAGTATAGTTAATTAATAAGAGATTCAATAATCAGATAAAATGTTGATCTTTTATCAAATTAAAGAAAATTCTTATTTCTTGTCAATTTTTTTTTTGACTTATTTTGCCTCTGTTAATTTTAACAGATACAATTTTATTTTGACTATTACAATAATATAATTGTGTTTATTTAAGTTGGAAATTTACATAGACTAGTGTATTTCACTAATTCTATATTGTATATGTGCATACACAGAGTTTCACTTATTTAGTATACTCATTCACGTACATATACGTATATTTGTTCTTTTCAGTTGTTTGTATTCATCATTGTATACTCTACTGGTACTGGATTGTATCGTCTTCCAGTAATTTCTTTACATCAATCAATGTAAAAATTTTGAAACAAAAGTTGTATATATTCGGTTAGATTTTATTATATAGATGTATAATAATGAATGGTTAGAATAAATATTTGCTGTTTTCTGCTACTCTACATTTTGTTTATCAAAGAACGTTTCGACTTCGTCAACTTGGTAATTAGTAATGTGCTCTCATGTAATTGGTGATGAAAATTATTAATTTAACTGTGATAAACAGGGTTGAATGTATATGCACTGCTGTTGTCCACATCTCTTTGATTTTATGCAATTTCCTAATTAATATCGTTTTCGTGAGAACAATTGTTTTTTCCCCATAATCTATTGTGCATTTTGTTGATCGTTCTAATTTCTTTTTGTTTGTAGATTTCTATCTTTCGATTTTTCTATGTTAACACTTTTTTCTTCAAACAGCGTTCCGATAATCTTTCTCAGTGTTTTGATTTTTTTATTGTATTCTTTTAATAGCAGTGTTGTTTTATTTACAAAAATTTCTTCAGTTTATCTTTCGTTAATTCAAGTAGACAGAAAAATTATAGCTTCTTCGGTTTATTTTTCAGACTAAAGAAAAGAGAAAATCAATCTGTTTTGTTTTTTAGGTATTGTTTGTACCATTACTACTTTAACAGCATGTAGGATTGCTGAATATATATATATATATATATATATATCTAGAGAAATATATTTTGGTAATATTATACCAGACTTTTTACTTTGGATTATGCATGAAGTGTGTGTTTGCCTGATAATCAGGTTTTACTTCTATCCATTGTTTATTCCTATCATTTAACGTTTTTAAGCTTAATAGTAATGAAGAGTATTCTCTCAAAGTTCGTTTAGTGTTATGTTATTTAGATGACTTTCACACCAATGCTTTATAAAATGTGTACTTTATTTTTTTTCAGGAGTCAGTTGATTAATTCATCAATTGAAATGATTCATTATTAGCCTAATAGTTATCTTTATTTTACACTGAATTATTTGATTGAAGTGATTATACAGTTCAAATATCTGGACTACAGTTTTAGACTTTCCTTTACGTACTTCGCTTTGGTCACGTGGATGGTATCACATATAAGGTGCGCTTCAAACATGAATTTAAAAGCTCTTTATAGTTAATTGACTCATTACCAAACTTCCATTTATTAGGTTCTATGTTTAAACGGTACAATAGTTTATAATAGTTGCTTAAAAGACTGTAAGAAAATTTACACTGAAACTTATCACTTGATACCTTTATTAAGTTTTTATCCTGTAGAAACTACAAATTGTACTGAAATGCTTTCAATTTATTTTCGAAAAAAATTTTTAAACATCAATAAAACAAAATATTTATCGCTCTCAGTATGATAAGAAACCGAAGTACGTGGCCCACACCTTTCTTTCTTTACCTACACCATATACGATAGCAAGTTGCTGTTCTGGCCATGAAAGTGTTTTGATATGTTTATTCTCAGTCTTAGATTATGTCAAACAGTAGCTCTCTGATTTTTATTTTTTAAACTGAATGTTGGATGATTGATTTTTTGAAGCGAATACATTGTCACAGAATGTCAGAAACTAAACTTTCTACTCATGGGGATGTTGTAAATTTGTTTTATTATTTGTAATGTAGTACCTAGCTGAGTTAAACAAGACGAGTTCTATCTTGGATCACATAAGTATTATCTGTTTGTTGAAATAACTGGATGTTTCATGCAGATAAAACTGTTAATATTGTGTTTTTAAAATAATCCTACCATACTTGGTAGCATTTCAGTTATCACTGTAACACATTCATTAATACAGATTAGACACTATGAATTGTTAGGTGATTATGCGTTCAATGGAACTCAAATTTGGCTTGAACACTGTATTCAAGTTGTTTTTCGCTTCATTTTTAGAATTTAGGATCAAATCCCGGTTCTAGAATTCCTGAATTTGATCGATCCCATTCAGTTACTACTGCTTCGCTGAATTCCGATACTTCGAAAGAGAATAATGAACAAGATAGTAATATCGAGATAAACAGTAATGAACAGATAGAAAATGAAATCGACGATAATGATATCGATGATGATTTTCAACATTTGAATGTTAAGCAGTTTTCTATTGGGATATATTCTGTATTAAAGGATATTGTTGATAAATTTCATTTAGCATTTTGTGACTTACAATCATCTCAAAAACAACTACAAGATCAACTGATTGCCTTAGATCAAGGTTAGTTTAGTGTATTTGTATGATTACGTTACAATTCTGAATATCTTCAATCAACTTTAAGGATCATCACAATGTAGAAATTACTGTAAATTCTCAAACCTATACACTTATGTGTGTTTATGTAAGAAAAGATTAATGATACAAATAAACGATACAAGTGGAGTGAAATGAGAATGGTTTTAGCTTCAGATGCGGTGATAGAAAATGACGCGTTTCAACTACTTAGCCACTTTTGATTGTAGTTCCTATGTACTAAGTTTGGTTCTTTTTAAAGTCGAGTAGTTTATTGGTTAGTTGAAAAATGACTTTAACTAAACTAGTATCTAATCTAACGGATTGTTGCTCTGATTCTTCATAATTTAATTTCTAATAAAGTTTCAATGTCCTAACAACAATAATAATATATTTAGAAGACAAAAATGAAAACTTCGCGTCTATTTAAGTATGATCAGGTAGGTGGGGAAGAAACGATATAAAATGGAGGTACATTATTTGAATAGAGGTAATTAGTAGATAAACTATTTTGATCGGGCATTTGTGAAAAAGTTGTTGATCGGTTGTTTTAATCTATTAGCGACTTATTGATCAATATCCATTCACTTTTCATCACAGTTTATTATTAATAATCGAATGTTTTTTTATTTCCTCCATAATCTTATAAACATTTCTCCTGTCAATCCCTAAATAATTAAAAGCATCTTTTGATTAACAGTTAGCAGTAACTAAAAGGCTAACCAAATATTCAAAGTTATTTTCAAACTTGTGCTTACTATCTATTCTAAAGTGATGGATTATCATTATATGCAAATGTCTATAAGTTTAATTAGTAACTGTCAACCATATTAATAATCAATGAGTGGTTTTCCGATTTTTGCAAGGTGGACATTCCTAACAGCTTCGTTTATTATATCTACTAACCTTTCCCATTAGTATCAATCTTCGATGTTCATTTTTATCTGAAATCAGAAAGCCTTTTACTGACCGTTAAGTTTCTACTTTAATGGTGTTTGTAATGTTAGCTTCTGTAAGACTGAAGTAAAATATATTTATGGGTTTCTGTTGAACAAATTAGCTTTTCAGCTACCAAACCTACTCCAATTATCCGATATTCTGTTTTGGCATTGCTTAATTGAATTACTAAACGGTTTGACGTGTGTACAAATAATTCAAATTTATCCAGTTATCAACTGATATTCTTCTTTAAAAAATTTATCTTTGATAAGAATTTATTGTTCTATTTCGATAATATTATCAATATTAAATTAGAAGATATTTTTATGTTGTTGTATCCCTTTTCTCTTTAACTCTTGAAATCAAGCACTAGGTCGATTAGCTAAAGCTCAAGATAGTCCTCTGAATCTAGAACCATTTGTGTTGGTACTACAAGAATATAAACAACGAATATCAAAAGTACATAATTCTTTACGTATTTCACAGGTTAGTGTACTAGTACGAAAATTGTTTCAAATTATATATATATGCATATGCATATTGACCCATTTTCTATCATAATACGTTTTGCTAATACTTAGTTAACGTGACCTTTTACAAATATTTATCTGACTAAACAGCTCAACTTCAGGCTCTTGTTTACTGTAATTGTGGTCACAATTTTAGCAATGCTCTTATATACATGCAAATACATGTATGTACAATAATGACTTTTTATACTATTTTCAAACTATGTGTCACCACCACCCATTTCAGTTTTTTTATCTATGAGTGAAACAATTTTTTGTCATTATGTGCTGATTGTTTGTGCTATATACTTAGCTGTTTTTTTATTTTTCTATCATTATGTATTAGAGAAGATTAGTTACTAATAATGTTAACTAATTAAAATTTAAAACTATTTCGAATGTTTTTATTATGAAACATTTTAAGTGCAATTTCGAGAGATACTCGAATAATAGAGAAATCGATGCTGTTCATTTTAAAATATAAACATTTAAACCATCGAATACCGGTTCAGTGGTTTGTACCTATTGAGCTGAGGAGTCCTGTGTCAGGACTGAATAGCTGCACGATACTTGTGGTTTCCACTAGTTATCTGATTACAGTTAATCTGTAATTATATAAACGATAATATTCTCCCTAATTGTCGAATATTTCGTTATTTACTTAACTTTGTTAGTTATCGGATGTGCTCATTTATCTACATTGAATATTTTCGAAATTGTGTTATTAATCAGCCGAATAAGTTAAATTCATTAATAACAGCTAGCATATATTTTGTTCAATATTGCATGTTTCATTATATTCATCACTAAGGTATATCTTTGATTTGTGAATTCCCTCGTAGACAACTTATCCTTACTTATGGATTTTGTCTAGAAAGTGTTGTTGTTTACTGAAACAGTTTCGAAACCTTCACTTTTAATTCATTTTTGTATTGTTTGTTTGAATCCTCCCATGTTGATGTTGAGGACTGAGAATGAATTAAAAATTCACCCTATTGCACACAAAGTAATGGTTATACGGACTCAGTAGCTATGTGGATAACGCGACGGCATCTGAAGCGAACGGTACGGCGTTTGTGTCCCAGAGCCGACACCAACTCTGGGATGCAGGCACATCCAGCTGACGAGTCCCCAATAGGACTGAACGCGCTTCCGTTATTTCACTGCTATCCATCATCCATCTTTGTTTATAGTTCACTTCTAATCCATTGCGTACTCATATTTTACATAATTTATCAATAATCGTTTTTTCTATGAATAATCATTTATCGTCTTTGAATCATTAAAATTACAATATGATTAGTTTTTAATTCGTATGCAGTTATTTATTTTTGAATACATAATTTCCATTTCATTTTAGGATAGAGTTATTCGTATTCGTCAAAATATTCAGGCGAAAAAAATCACCTAAAATAATTTCCTATTCTCAACATGGCTGTTGTTCAGTACTTGAGAGGTTTAGATCTATCTGGTATCAATTTTGAAAAGCACAAAGATCTTTTAGATAAACAGAGAGTTGCTCGACGTACTCAAAATAATACTGAAAATGATAATTCATCCCTTCCTCTTCCTTCAATATGGCCTTCTACTGAAATACTTCAAGATATGTGCCGTTTACAATGGTTAAAATTAAAAAACGTCGGTTTAAAAGAGAAATTTTTACCAAAAGAAATAACACATTTAGAACAGTTGGAAAGTTTATCTTTAGTTCGAAATGAATTAACTTCTTTATGTTCTATCAAAGGTTGGCCAAATGTTTTGCCTAGTCTACGAATGATTACTTGTCGTAAAAATGAATTAACAAGTCGAGATGCTATTCCTGCTGATTTATTTGAGTGTAATAATCTTCAAGTAAGTCACAGTGATACAGATGCATATAATCTTTCTCTTCTTCTACTATTTGAGTCCAAAGATCTCATTCATTTATTTCCTTTTTATAATTAATCTTTTCCAGTACTGCCAATACTGCTACTACTTATTCTATTCTGTCGATATGTATTGAAATAATTTTATCTTACTATGCCAGTATGATGTGGCAACTCTAACAGATTGACATATATATCATGTTCTACTTTGCATATGATTAAGTAACTGACAGAAGATGTCTAGAGTTTATTCGCACAATTCTCATGAATAATTTGGTACGGTTGTTCTTTTATATTTTCTTACTCTAAACATTTCGGCCATTTCTATATGCTTCGGGATCGGTAATAGCAATAAACATGAGGCATTATTTCATTATTTACAGCTCTACCTTACCCTTCTCCTTCAATCCGTTCCGCTTCGATCTGGGTAACCTGATCACTGTTCCACTAGCTACCATATAATGTTTATTTATTTAAAACATATAAACATTGATACAAGGAGGGACCAAATACATACGCTCCACACTTCTTCATTCGATTTAAATAGGGGCTGGAGTACTGCACGGACACCCAAACCGAAGCAGTCAGTTTTCTTAGGACGCCTTCCTCGAGCCTTTGACCTAGAGGTCTTATCCGTAAGACAGTCGAGTAACGTTAGTGATGCAGTTTCATTGTGGCCGATGATCAGCAATAGGTTCATACGCCATTTGTTCCTTCAGGATCATGGAGCTTATGTGCACGATTGATTCGGAATCAGAGTTTTACAACTCCTTTGGGTAGATCCTCCGTATCAGCCAACCCGATTAAAGCACCGGACATTCGCTTTTAGTTTTCTCAATTTCGTAAAAAATCACGCAGCGAAAAGACGGTGATTAGGACTTCCCTGATAGTGGCTGTATACGCGTGGCCATGTGAGAGCAGTTTGAGAGGGAGAGTTTACTCTCCACACCCTTGACTGTACATCTGGGGGCATCATACAATGCGTGGTCTTAAAGCCGTGTATATAAACTTGTGCTCGGCTACAATCAAAGTGTTTTTACATAACACAGATTGATCTTGTTAATATTCTGCAGATTCAGTAGAATACCATAAAATTACAAAGGCGAACTTGAAATTAGCATATTTACTATACATTCAGATAATGACATTTCGTTCGCACTTGAAGCATTTTGGATTTGTGTTGTTTGATCGAGATTTTCTGTTATACCGCTTGAAGCTAGTACTCTGTTCCTTTATGTAAAACTTTTATCTGCTATAAATTCACTGTCAGATTCATGGAATTCACAGTTAATAGTTTTTTCTACCTATTATTATTATTTGACTCGCTGTGAACATTTCCATCAAGCACTATTATTTAATTTCATTTGAAGGAACTGATATTTCTTTTGAACATGTTTAATTTCATCTCTACTATCATAACTCTTTCCAATCACTAAAATTCAAACCATACGTGGTGAATTAATTAAGTTAGGACCCATGGTATCAATGACCCATATCCATTTGATACGATTGCTGGTAGATTGTTGTTGAAAGTTCGACGCACAGATCCCAAGAGTATACACTTTCTCTTAACTCTATGTATATTACGTTTGGTAATTCAACTGTCTGACTACGGTCACCGTATCTCAATAAAAGTATGTGTCAAGATCGACCCACTGCTTTTTTTAAATCATAAAAATTTTATTTTATGAATAATTTTGAACAAGAAAGAAAAGATCTGTGGAAAACCTTTTTTCTCGTATGACATTTTATGGAATTTAGTTTTAATATATCATCTTGACTGTTCTCTTAATTCTAATCTCTGCGATGTATGAGAAGATTGATATCGTTTGCTAAAAACTTTAGACAAAAGAAACAAATCAGTTTGAAATTAGATTATTAAAATATAAAGTTAATGGAGATTATTCGATTTAGAAGTAGTTTTCTTCACGGATGATCATCCTCTGCAAAAGTAATATTGACGAAATTAGGAAAGAGACCATTGTACAACCGTTCTGTGCGAGTTAAAAACTCCTAACCAATTCGCATACCCACGGATCGACTTTCGCTGATCGTCCAACTGTTTGGACTATATTATAAATTTCACTTCAAGTTGAATATGTATAGGCAATTGTATTCTCATTGATTTAGTGCAAAAGTATCATGTTTCGTTGAATACCTCAAATTGATTAGTGTGCATCGCTGATAAATCACAAGCTAGGATATTAAACAATCGTATCTGCGTCCTAGTTGTCTAGTTGACATTAATCTGTACTGAAAAGATTAAATAGAATTTTATTTAAATTATTATTAGTATTACCATGTCTTTTTTGTTTTATTGTCTTACAATATCAACTTTTCATCTATTACACTTCAGTAATACCATTTTTAATGTTATTCTCTTTTTGTTCTATATTGTGTTTTTTGTAGGTTGTTGATTTTAGTTGTAATCAATTAACACAATTACCTAACGGAATTGAAAAAGCTAAAGGCTTATTAGCTTTAAATCTAAGCAACAATCAAATTGCATTAATTTCACCGGATTTATTTGTTCAATGTACAGAATTAATGTTTCTAGATTTGGGTAATAATAAATTAGAAAATTTACCAGCACAATTGCGTCGTTGTTGTTCACTACAACAATTAATCCTTTGTAATAATCCGTTACGTCATGCTCAACTTAGATCAGTGACAGCGTTGAAACAACTTGAAGTAAATATTCATTTTTCGGTCCAATTGAAGACTTTTTTAAAAAATTATGTGTGTACTTCACTAATTTAAACTCACTTTTGTATTCGAAATCGATTCTCTCTAGTGGTTGGTGTGTTAAGTACTTAAATGCTTGGTAACGACTTCTAACTGCCTCTTAGTCCCCCGGCCATCTTCTTCAGTGAGAATCGAACAGAAGGTGAAAGTAGAGAATCATGGAAAGTAGCTTTACTTTTGAGGTTATTTTAAGTACAAAATATAAGGATATTTGTAGGTTTATGTACCACTTTAATTATGATGCGATAAAACTCTTTGAGAAGTTTCTCCTAACATTGCATGAGCGAAGTTTTTTCTGCCTTTTCTAACCTTAAAAGTTTTCTGTGGAGTACTTTATGCCTCTTACTTGACAAAAGCATTTAACTTCAGACTCTTTATTAGTGCGCATAAAATCAATTAGTTTGTAATTATTATACTTATCATGAAAGCTTACGAATGTTCTTGATACAATTTTGGAACGTGGGTTGTTTACAATAATAAGTAACTAGCTTAATCTGTTTATAGTTTTATGAATGTTATATTAAGAATTTTCTTTGTCTATATATTTAATTCCCTGCGAACTCTATTCCTTTGTCTCATTTTCGATGAATTTATTATTTTATAAATAAAAATGACTATCACATCTTCATCTTACAGATGAATATATTTTTATATGATGTTTGTGTTAGTATATTTCTCCCTCAAAATTTAGTTTATCGTCAGGAACATTCATTGTTTTTTATGTTATGTTTAGCAATTGTATTTTAAGATACACATTGATATAAATAAAAACCTATTGTCACTTTGAATAGAAAGTGGACTTTTTTTCTCTATAATATATGTTTTAAAATAAATTTAGAAAATGTACTTTTTGAATACACAATTACGCTGGTCTCTCGAAGACGTTTTTTGGGGTTAGCACTTAATGAACAATACCACTAGAAACACCGTTCTATAATCATCTTTGATAAGAAAAAAAACATAAATTAAAGTTCAATTTTTTATTGATTTCAAAGTGAATCATTACACAACTTATATTGTTTTTGTATTCTAATTCGGATTATTCAGGTGTTATAGCAAGTATAACACTAATAAATATCTGACTTATAGTTCAATGGGTAGTTTTACTCAATTCAACTAGTTCTGTAACATGGTAACAATTTTTTTTTTAGTTTACTTCAATAGGAATTCACTTTCCACAAATAAATCTTGTTTGAACAGTAACCTGTTATTCGATATAATGATTTTCGTGGTAGAAAATCGTAATATTTAAGTAATTGTGATTATACAATTTTTTTACACTTTTGATTTATGTTATTATGTTGTTTTTTCTTCATTTTTTAGGTTTTAAATTTATCGGGTACTGAACGAAGACTGGACAATATACCAAATGAATTAGATAAATTAGAACGTCTTATTGAATTAGATTTGTCCTGTAATTTACTGACAAAAATTCCTGAACCAGTTTTATCGGTATGTTCCTGTATGATTATTTAGGTTTTCTTATTTATTTCTAAACCTTTGAATAAGAAAACAAAATTTAATCTTGATGGAAATTAACTGTTCTCTTGAAAGTACTTGAAATTTATTATTATTATTATCTACTTAAATATATTAAATATTCCATAGCGATCCGGTTTATTTAAATTTATAATTGTCATCAATTTTAAGTCAATCGAAGGTACATTCATTTTAATGTCCAAGAAAAAACTATAATTTTTCAATGCTAATTTTTTTTAATTAGTTAAATGCTAAAAAAGAAGACAACAAAGTCGTAATTAGTTAATGGTATCCTGTTAATATTGTCTTTAAGCTGTAAATTATACACAGAAAATATGTTTATAGTTTAAGAAAATTTGTAAATAAATAGAATAATTTTTAGTTTTTAAGTGTATAAACTAGTTCATTATGAAAATATATTCTAAAAGTAAAAAATTCATTGAATAACCTTTATGTAAATTAAATTAAATGTCTAGTGTATTAAACTGATAACAATTTAATGGTTGAAATCATGAGTCAATTGAAGCTAGGCCATCATAGAAAATCTGGGAGCACTGGATGGCCGTCTCTTCCTAGTATGGGACTCCTCAGCAGTACGCGTTCACGATCCCGTCCCCTTCTGCGGGATTCGAACCCAGGACCTATCAGTCTCGCGCGCGAGCGCCCACCCATTAGACCACTGGGCAGGCATTCAACGGTGTTAATGTCTAACTCCAACCAATCCACGAAATTGCGCCACTGTACACCATTGTCTTCAGTGAGCTGATATCTCACAACTGATCTGGTTGAACTCCACTGGTTACGGCTTCTCACTAGAACTCCAGGAATGTCTCTCGGAGTTCGTCACTAGTGAGCAGATGATTATTATCAGAATAGGTTTTGTGGAGATTTTAGAAATTTAAATTTCCAGTGCTTCCAGGTTATTCATGGTGGTCTCGCTTCAATTAACTCATGATTTCAACTATCGGAATTTCTAAAATCTCAACAAAACCCCTTCTGATAATAAAGATGTAGTTAAATAATTAAATATCAGTTTTTGTCCAACTAAAAAAATCATTTACTTATTAAATATTTGTTTTGTCTAATAAAAATTTCATTACAATTAACTAAATTATGATTAATCTATTATATGTAAGATTAGTTCCTTAATTCTTATTATCAACTTGCGGTGACATAATAACTCTATCTACTTAAAATTGGAAATAAAAAACAAGTGTTAGTTTCTCACATTTATAATAATAAATCACGATATTTATTGTTTAAGGAATTAATCATAATCAACTAAGCGGATAGAATAATTCACATTAATTTGCATGTTTACATTTGCAAATGCATTTTATCTAAGATGTGTTTAATTCATTGAATCATTGGATTTCATAGTTGTTTGTTTAGTCTATTAATATAACTAATTTCATGAATAATAAGTTAATCCAATGTTATGTCTCTCTAATATTTGAATAAAGCCAAAACTGTAACTGAGGTAGAATGAATAAGATTTTATTTTGTTTTGTGATTTTTCTTCAACTGCTTATAATCATATATATTCTTAATTTTTCCCTTATTGTTTGTTACATCTTACAACATTGTCAATAATGAAAATCACAACGATAAAACTACAAAAAAACGCCAACAATAATAACAATGGTCATAAATGTGACAACGAAATTATAGCTTAAAAATCTTCGTAAACTAAATTTAGCCCATAATGAATTATCAGATTTATCCACTTTAACTGGTGACTGGCCTAAACTGGAATACCTTAATCTTAGTTATAATCAGTTAATTCATTTACCAACCGGATTAATTCGTTTGTCATGTTTACGTAAATTATATGTGAATAATAATCATTTGACATTTGGTGGTATACCTTCAGGAATTGGTAAATTACAAGATTTGGAAATATTCGATGCATCACACAATGAATTGGAGACTATACCAGAAAGTAAGTTGTTTTAGCTTTTCATAGGTAATCGTTAAAAACTGCTATATGATTTTTTTCCATAATGGGCTTCACAAACTGATATTTGCTGAAGAAATTAAATTTCGTTAAATATAATTCAGTAGCATTGTTCTTCATAGACTTTTACTGCAGAAAGTCTTATCATTGTAACCATAGGACTGAATGTTTTGTTATGTGGTAATCATATTCCCTCACCATTTAGTAATTATGGTTTGGTAATTCTTTTGTAAAAAATAGACAAGCCACATAAAGATCACTTTTCAACTTTGGTAGACTATCACTAATTCCTGGAATTTCAGTAAAGAGCCATGTCTTATGGAGTTCAATCATTTAGATTGTGAAGCCGCTACTCACCAACAGAGTTGGAAAATGGTTGCACAATGTCGTGAATTGATTGATGTTATACATATAAACCATCAAATGCTGCTTCACTGGTCTAAAGGTTAAACTCTCTCAGTAGGACCAGGTGTTTCTGTGTTCGATTTCTAGTAGGGTCGTGTAAATACAATTCTGATTAGTTAATAAAATGAGACAGCTATCTAGTCCTTCCTGAATTTCGGTGGTTCGTTAACTGATTTCATTCTGTGATATAAGTTACGTAGAATAATTTTTACTGGTATATTATGCATATACGTTCATTTTGATGAATCATTTCATCCCTTCTTGCCAGGTCTATGTCGGTGTGGTCGTTTAAAACGTCTGATACTGAACTCAAATCGTCTTCTTACACTTCCTGATGCTATTCATTATTTGAAAGAATCTTTAGATGTTTTTGAAGTTGACAATAATCCTCAATTGAAAATACCACCGAAACCACCTGAGTTACAGAAAGGTGCAGGTCTAGCTTTTTATAACATTGATTTCTCACTGGACGCCCAACTACGTATGATGCGTGGGAAACCAGCTTTAAATACTGAAACGATTCATCATCCAAAGGTAACGTGTTACGGTTGTTAGTGTTCTGTTTTAATAATGTTTACACTTATTTATATAACCTTATTTATAACTTTGATTAAATTTTCGTGATTGTTATTCCTCAACGAAATTAGTAATCAGTTTAATTAACGTTCTGATCTATGTATGTGATAATTGGATTATTTAGTTCATTTGTATATGTTTGTTTGAATTATCATATATTATCCTTCTTCCGACAAAGGAATGAGTTTACTGCGTAGCAGTTCTGTTTGTCGTAGTCTACGGTCGCGAAACATGGCAATTATTATTAGAGGATATTTTTAGGTTACTAGTATTCGATCATAGGTGTTTTTGAAGCATGAGATGTCTGGTGTAGGATCAGGTTGTAAGACGTTTAGGGGCACCCCAAACTAATATGTAGCCTCAGTCTATGAATTCATTGAAAATTAGACTGAGCCATTGTAATATATATAGCATACCATGTTGTGGTTTGTGATTATCGTACATAGTAGTTAAAGATTTTGGGCCATTTGGCTCAGAGTCATTCGTAATGACATAGATCCATTCACTAATTGCATTCCTTGAAAACCTGAGTCTTGAAGTCTCTTTATACCTCCATTTTCTTTTTATATACTTATTTCTACTACTACTGAAACCAGTGCTACTTCTACAACTCTGGAATTTCTCTTCAAATAGTTTTATTTCACTTTTCTATTACGATATAGCAACTTGAATGAATACATATAAGCGTCAAGTTTTATTTTGCGTATGACTGACTGATTCACTTGGAGATACCATTATGTATTATCATGTAAAAGGAATGTAAAATACACATTTAGCCCCCCAAATATTTCACTGTGCTGTAGATTATTTGATAATTGGTATGTAATAATAGGTCCAACATATGCGGCCAAGTTAGTTGAATTTTTTATACGGCTTTGGACCACTTCCATTAGGCTAATCGGAACGCTGGAAATTCCTGAAAAATGCTTATAAGTTGTGATAGTGTAATAATTTTGTGATGATTTTTTGCTAGCATAGAATGACTGTAGTTTCGAAATTGATGTCTTCCCTATAAAAACCTCGTTTTTTAATCATAAGTTTTCGGTAATTTGATTTAACAGGATCCGGCTGCTCGGTTACGACGTCTCAGAAGGCGTCGAGGAGAAGGTGTCGGGAAAGATAGTAAATGTGTACTTGAAGGTATGCAACGAATAGCTAAAGAAAAAGAAGAACTACTTGAAAAAAAGGAACATGAGGTTGAAGAAGAAACACGTAAATTGGCGGCTAGACGTTGGCAAGATCTGTTGGCCAGACCACGACTCGATTATACAGGAATTTTTGACGAGGCATGTGAGCTTCAATTTTATTGGTCTTTATATTACTATTTAACTGACAACTCACGATCATTTAAAAAATACTTTTTATATGAAGTAGCTACATAAATAATTGTTCACACACATGCACAAAAAATTTCATGTTATTTGTCGTTAGTCAACTAGATCCTCTAGACATAATCCTTGGAGTTCAATATACCATCCTGTAACAATTTGTACTGCACATATTGTCTAAACCTTTGCTATTATGTAGAAGTACAAGATGATTAGTGTCATCTTCTTATGATATTCATTCAACGGATGTTAAAGATTTTAGTATTTTTGGTTCTTCTAACTGATTAAAATACTGTTGATAACCAAAAAATAATTATTGTAATGCGCATTAATATACGTTTCCTTATATAAACTTTCAGGATACTGGTATAAATCCTGGTGTGCAAATGTGGGAATTGGATCAGTTTTATCCTAAACGTGTTGAAGATGATATTTTACAAGGTCATTTGCTTAATGGTGATTGTTATGTTATCTTACAAACTACTATAAGTAATAATCAAGTATTTGAATGGACTATATATTATTGGATTGGTTCTCGTTCAACAAAAGATAAGCAGACTTGTGCAGCTATTCATGCTGTAAATCTGCGTAATTTCCTTGGCGCTGAATGTCGAACCAAACGTGAAGAAGAAGGAGATGAATCTTCAGAATTTATAGCATTATTCGATGGCAATCTGATAGTGTTAGACGGTGCTCGTGGTGAGACTGGATTTATTCATGTTGAGGATGATGTTGTAGTACCCAGATTTTATAGGTATTTAATTAGTGTTATTTGTTCAGCATAATTTCATTTTTTTTTTACCTCAAAATGCATTATTATTCATCTATAAGGTTGGATGAGGCGTTTTATCGAATATTTTCTTTTGTAATACTCCTAAGTCACTATTCAGTTTTATCGAAAATTCAATATTTTTTGATAATTAGTGTTACTAGGTAGAAGAGTATATGTATACACTATTTGAGTACACAATAAATTCCATGATAGATGTCTCTTTCATTCTAATAATATAATATACAGTGACGTAAAACCTTTTGAGTTGTTTATAATCTTTAACTTCGAATTTCACGATCACTTTGTCGGTTTATTCGTTTTATATTTATTCTTGCCCAGTTATTTATCATTTTATAAACTATATTATGTTGGTTGTATGCTATATCTTTAAATTATAGCTGAAATTCCTTGATTACAGTACGGTCAGTCATTCGGTAGTCCTATCTTCAAAAAGCTTCTTTTTTATCCTTAGTTTAGTCCAGTCATTTAGACATTCTGTCAAGTCGTCTCAGCTGTCATAAAGTTATATGTTTGAAATAGCCCCCTCACTAGTATTTGCTTTTTACAAATATCTCCATTGTTTTTTTATTCTCACGTTTGTTTTTATTGAATGTATTAATTCTAAGCATAATGCATTATGATCTGTGCTGCATAAAATTTGTAAGTATAAGTTTGTTTTGTTAGTTGACTCGTGATCTATTTGATAGTCAGATTCTTTACTCACTGGTTTACTAGTACAGGTCATTATGGACTGAATGATCATTTTTTGTTGAGTTCAGATTATGGACGCAACTAATATCTAATTTTACACTCTTTCTTAAAATAATCATTTTTGTTCACATTCTTCTACTCTTATGTAGGTTATTCGGTACAGAGAAACGTTTGAAAATTGTCTCAATGCCATTAACTCATCTCAGTTTAGATTCTAAATTCAGTTATCTACTTGATGCTCAATCTCATCTCTATTTATGGATAGGAAAAAATTCACGTTCTATTATACAAACTAAAGGACGATTATTAGCTGAAAAAATTTCAGTTCGTGAACGTCGAGGTGAAGCATCCATTCATATTGAACCGGAAACTCGTGAATCCAATGCATTTTGGGCTATTATAACCGGTGTTTGGCTTCCTGCACCACTACCGAAACCAACTACTAATTCAGACCAAAAAGATCATATAATTAAACCTTTAGATAATCATGATGAGAATAAAGAAATCAATTATCCACCTGCTCCGGTAGTCCAACCACCGAAAGTAGTGTCTCGTGACTTCATCCCTACGGACTGGCAGCTACCTCAACCTATTTTATATGATGTTCAAATGGGAAGAGGTTATTTAGAATTACCACAAGTAAGCATTTCATTGCAAATATTGTCTTCCTGGATTATTATTTTATCATACACTTATTCATTACAATTTTACTTTTTTATATCTTATTTGACGTATTATTGCAAATGAAAATGATTAATTATATATCTATATTTTTTTTAGGTAGAACTTGAAAATGGTCTTTTGTCTAAACGATTATTAGATTCAAAACATGTTTATATTCTTGATAGTGGTGGTCAGTTATTTTTATGGATGGGTGAGAAATCTTCGAAGTTCCTTCGATTTGCTGGTTATAAATTAGCATTACAACTTATGGGTTTAATGCCTAGAAGTCGTTTAGGTGGACTTGAATTATTATTTACTGAATCAAATATGTCTACACTAACACAAACACTATTAAATAATGATCATGTGGATTGGTGGAATGATTTTACAGATTCATTGCTTCAACCGTGTACACAAGGAGCTGAGACTCAAGTAAGTGAATTCTAGTTGTCATTTCAATATACGGTTGAGTTCTATCAAACGCTATTATAAGATAAAAAGACCATTTATTTCGTAGGACAGAGTTTGAATTGTTTATTCTGGTTGACGCTTTTTAGCAAAGTTGTTTTCTATGGGGTGGGGTTGCTGACCCGATGCCCAACCCTCCTCCTTTAAGTGGCCTTAGGACTGTCATTGTTTCTAGAAGAGCTACAACCGGAGCTTTGTGATTCTTATTCGTTAAAACAACAAATAGTCACCCTTTCGTAGCTCTTCACTGCAGTGAAAGTTGTTTCAAAAACAGTATATTAACTCGAATGAATTCATTGACTTTATGTGATCTCTTCAATTCTTTACAACTTCGAAACAACAATATTGATTCGTGAAAATAGATGTACATACTTTAGTTCATATTTACAAAAAAGATTAAAGTTTGATATAAAATAGAATTTGATTAAGAAAATAAGCCATAAATATTAATAAATCAACTATATGAAAATTTTAGAAGACAAAGTTGCGAAGCGTTCAGAGACAAATTTTCAGAAGTGGAAACTGAATGCCAAAATTTAGGTATTATCAGCTATAGAGCCGAAATACGAGTAAAGCACAAATAAAAATTAGGCAGAAATTATAATCGAATAAATGAAATATACTGTTACTAATGAATGAACACTGAGGTCACTAGGACAATCCAAGAATAAAAACAGTATCATTTTTAAATTCATGAATTTCCTTTATGTTTTTTAATGATGGTGTCATCGGCAAATCACATTGAAGAGATGGTTATTGTATGCACCTGTGAGCGTACCTTCTGCAACGTAAGATTATTGTCTCACAGTGATGAGCATTTTATATTCATGAACTTACCAGTAAAAGTTATATAATTACGGTAATTGATCAACTTCACGTCGGTACTGTTATCTATGCTACATTCACATCACCTCTATATGTAAATGCGATTTTATTGTTTGCTTCAGTCATTTGCTTCAGAATCATTTTGAATTTTCGTCTCTTCAAGAAATTACCCAGCTGATTTTACGCTTTAACTGAATATTGTGACATTCACATCAAACTCTTATCACGTGACGATAATAGGTATACCATTTTTAACGTAGTACAACTGTCCTTGCTACTGTGCTAGGATGGAGTAGAATATATCTTGACAAATAGTATCCCATAATGTAATTCATACCACATAGATAGTATCAGTTTTCAATTATATGATTACTAGATCATGTGCAAGTGGCTAACTGACAATATTCGACCATATTTTTTAGTATCATCAGTTCAGTGTTTCCGAATTTCAACTCGTTCTCAATCTTTGATATTCAAAATGGTTTTTCTCATTCGATACGACATTATTCATATTAGTAGCGCTTTACATGATAATAATCACATTTTTAAAATCAATATTGTTTTTGGCTTGTTTAAGATATTCAAGTGTCAATTTTGTGATTGGGATGAGGCTTTAGCTGTAGATTTTACCCGTACTGCTGATTCTGTAGCACGTCGTGGAGTGGATATCAATCAAATTTTAGAAAAAGATAAACCAGCTACTGATCTTCGAGCATTATTAGCACCTAGAGAAACACCACTTACCAATGAAGAAGCTCTACAAATGATGGCTGAATGGAATGATGAATTAATTGAACCACCAAAAGAAAATATTGTAGAGTCAAGCAGTGCTTTACAACAATTTATAATGGTTGATGGGAAATGGAATCTTGTGGAAAATCGTTGGTTTGGACAATTCTTCAATCAAGATTCGTATATTCTAATTGCACGCTATTGGGTAATGAATATGAATGCATATATATATATATATATATATATATATCCTTTTCATGCTTTTATCTCGAGTTATATACTTCCTTTTCATTGTTTAAATAGTTTATAACATTACTCACAAGTCAAAATTGTTTAAAAGAATATCTTGTGACAATGATATCGAAAAATATGATTTCATGGGGGTTAGCGGTAAAGTTGATTATTAGACAGGTCTAATGATTGTATAAGTAGAACTTTTAGTAACTGAAATATCTCATACAATTTCTAAATTTGAATCAACTAAGAACATTGTGCTGCTACTTTCGTTTTTACTCGATATTATTGATTTGTTTAAAAGTTTAATTAATACAAACCCATTTTTTAAAGTGGACCTAAAATCCCTGGTGAATAACTATTGTTATATGTAGATTATTAATATATCAATCAGATAATGAGTAAAATGAGATTCTGACATATGCTTGGGTGTTTGTAATTGAATTACTGATGACCACCAAGTAGTTTCGGTTAGTTAAAATTTGCATATCTTGAGACTGAAAAGTTTGAACTATTAAGTTTATAATCATAATAAACTGACTTACGCATCGCTCATTAATGTAATAAAACGTTTTATGGCTTAACGAATTTTACTTTTTATCTTGAACAAATATTTTCCAGGATTATGATGATGAAAACAAAGAATTTTCAGAGAGTGATAATCAAGGTGATGATACTGACGAGGATTCAAGTCTTACAAAAACCGTAGTCTATTTTTGGCAAGGTCGTGAAGCATCCGATTTAAGCTGGCTCCAGTTTGAATTCTCAGTTCGTAAAGATATGCAAGCTCGTCTATCACAAAATCCAGAAAATGTTAGTCGACCATTAAAAGTAGTATTTAAACGCGTAAAACAACAACAAGAAGACACCATGTTCTTAGCTCATTTTCAACGTCAGTTCATCATTCATTCAGGCCATTATCGTGATCGTGCTGAATCATCACGTTTAGAACGAATTCAAATGTATTATATTAGAGCAAATGGTAACCTTATATCCACTCGATGTATAGAAGTAAGTGTCCCAATCAGTTCGACCTCTTTTTAAAGAAGCAGCTGGAATTTATAGATACCAATATATTTTCTTGAAATTCTCATTATTGTAAATCCATGTACATAATTCTGTCAAATACCTTTAAGGAATTACTACACACTATTCCAATGATATATTTTGAGTAAATCAACTTAAATATGTTTCACATGAAAATTAATCTTGGCTGTTTAATTTTGGGGCGTTAGGATTAAAGCATTTGTGTATTATTGATGTCAAGTTTTTGTGATGCCCCATTTCTTCTTATCGTTGATATAATTTATTTTCTCATAGTCGCGAATTTATACTGTACTCATAAATTCATTTTAAGAGAAACTCAATAAGTTTCGTAAACTATTACATTAGTATTAAAATATTTCATTTACAATGGTATTATATTTTATTAAGATGAATTTCATGTGTACCATAGAAAAATGTTTTCAGTGTTTGTTACTCGTAGAGTCTCGTAACGTGTGGGTGAGAAGAAAGGAGTGTGAGTATATAATTGCGTTTTATTTCTGTAAATTTATTTTGGTGTTTTATATTTTAAGAAAAAAAAAGCTATTCAATTTATTGTTTAATCACAAAATCTTGGACACTTAAAACTAATACTTTTGTTTATTATGCAAATAAATCTTTTATATCCTTCATTGTCAACCTAATAATAATAATAAAATGTCGAGTAAAGTCTCTGTGATAATCAGTATATCTGGAATTCGTAAGTTTCTTCGTTTTTTTCTAATAACAGCATTTTCATCAAGAGATAGCTGCTTTTTCATTAAACTATATGCTTTTCTTGTATCTTTATTTTGACACATATGGACAGCATATTTTCTTAATAATTCATTAACTATTTATTCATCTGGATTCCATAACTCAATGTTCCATATTATGTTTTCTCTTGACTTTCAAATTATCAAACTATACTGTAGAATAGATAGAATGTTGTGGAAACCAACACGCACATTTCGTCAGCTCGATGTACGTGCATTTCAGAGTATATGACAGTTATGACTGATCAAAATTCAGTCAAAATATCAGCAACAGGATTATCGGAATCATCACTAATTGAATTACACTTTAAGATTAGTTTAAGATTATTCGTTGTGACGCAACATATTTTTCCTAATATGTTAGAAGCTCATTTATTTTAAAATGTAAAAATTATTAGTGAATTAAATTAGGTATACTGAAGCTTATAGTAAATCATTCCTTTACCTGTATTAAGATGTTCAACAACATTTCATCTCATTACCTTCTCCGTCTTCTGTGAGTGCGGAAGCCTCGATTTCTATGTACGGATACATTATAATCATCTGCGTCTTTTTGTTATCGATAATTATCAATATATGGATCACATTAAATTTTTCTCTTCATTTACTCCTTTGCTAATTTCATTGCTATTATTTCTGTCATTAAAACTCAAATTATCTGTTATTATTTTCTCATTGTTCTTATCCAGGTCAAACCGTCAGTTGTAAATTTAAACTCTTGTTTTACTTACATAATTAAAGTACCTGCACATATCGTTAGTGTACTTGAAAAGAAACAAACAGATAAATGTCATGTCTATGTTTGGACTGGAGGTAAATCTTCATCTGAAGATAAAGAGTTGGCTATTCGTTTAAGCGAGAAAATGTTCAGTTGGGTATGTTCATTCCCGCTTTTGTAACTATATATTGATAGTGGCAAACTGGGAAGTTAATTATTTTTATGTTCCAGTTGTTATGTTTTTTTCTAATTATTTCTGAATCAGCTATGTAAATTCTTTTATTATAGACCAAATTAAGTTTAAATTTTTCACTTCTTGAAATCATTACCATGAAATATTGTTGATTAATACGTTGATATTCGTCAAAATAGCCGTTTAAAATTCAAACGAAATGATATTTTCTCGTGTTCAAAAGATTATAGATAATAATACACTAAATCGTTGTCCGAATTGAATTCGGGTCTGTTAGTTTATCCATTTGATCTAATAACTTTCAAGTCAACAGATATAATTCTTCCAGAATATTTTTGATATGCGGCCATTTATCCTCCGACAGTACATAACATTTCATTATATCTTAGCTCAGATTAAATTATGAGTAACTTCTGAGAGTGACTAATGGAATAATATTATACATATATTCTTATTGTATAACTATTGAGTAACTACGTTATGTATATTTATATTCCTATTATTATAAGCTTTATTTTGACCTATTATGACTATTTGACTATTATGGTACGATTTACTATTCTTAAATTTGAATCGGTTTAGTGATTGCAGTCTCCCACAATCACAGTAACTTTTTGGCTTGATGTTGTACAAACGTTATTTTCTACTGATATTGTCTGGTTGCGTAATTGATTTAATATATGAATTTCAATATTAAACAGGTCTTTTTTCCATCGAGAAATAAACAACCTGTTATGAAATTCCGTTTACAACTTTTCGTCTATGTCATTAAGCATCGCGGATGTCCATAGGCATTTTTTCCACAAAAATACGTGTTTGTTAAATGGTTAAAATAAATACGATTCACAGAAAAGGTTGTCCCAATTTTTATTCAGTTAATAAAATAAGCGAGCCTTTCACACTGATCATATTTTAAATACTAACAGATAAAATAAGAATCTTATTTATTTACCTTAGTCTTTATTTATATTAATACACATATAGTCATTGTTTAACCATGTTGTCATCACCATAATGTACATTGACTGTTTTTCTATGCTAACACCTACTCATCACAAATTTTTTTGAAAAATAAATGGATTTATTGTTAATCAATATAGGAACGAAAAAAAAGTTGACGCATTCTTTTGTACCATATTTTTTGTTACAAAGTAAGGTAGTCACTTTTATTATTATGTTCTCATTTATATTTACCATTACAAAAATTAGTCGGTTTTTATCGATCGAAGTATTAATGAACTTAAACTGGATGTGTATAAACTCTGAATGATCAGTCATGAATATAATCTAGTCAAATGTATCGCTTGTTTTTGTTGTCAACAGTCGAGAATGTGATGAAAATTTTAAGAATATATATATATATATATATATATATATATATATATATATATAAGGTCCTCTCTGATTGTGTAATGTAATGAAATTGATGTTTGCATAAGATTTTAACTATTAATACAATGATAATTTGTTATGGTTTATTGATTATGCTAATGAATTCACCATAGTTGGTATGTAAATCACTTGATGATAATTTACTTGCATAATTGAAGATTAATCTATCCACAATTAATTCATTATGACCAATAAAATTTTCAGTCATTGAACTTGTGAATGTTTTTCCTTCAGTTGTGTTTAATAATTTGAGTGGTTTAATTGGTTTTGTTTTTCTTTAATGAACATGGGTGTTAAAAATATAAGATTTGTGTGTTAATTAATAACGTGAAATTGGTCCGACTAATTATTTGTAGATTAAATTACAGAACTATCGAACACTTTTTGACTTAAGAATTTGGTAATTGCAATCGGTATCATATTTCACTAGAAATATGAAGTTGACAGTCATCAAGTGAATTTGGGCTCGTGATCACCTCCCAGTGTCGTTAAGCAAATGTGTCGCTAATTCCGTCAGACTATGAATCCTGCAGACGGCTGAGGCAAATGCTATTCGGATCAAAAAGCCAGAGCTTTACGTCCGAAAGAAATACGTTCAGCCTCTCCTTTTACTCTGATCAACTTCGGAGCCAACTAGTTAATAATATGGCGACGTAATTTGTTTAATGTTCCTTTTTATGTTCCAAACTTATCTACACATCTTACCATTATTATTATTATTATTATTATTATTATTATTATTATTATTATTATTACACCTACCAACCTTTTTGAGAAATTTATTTAGCATCCAATCCTATCTACTATATCTGATCTAATTCATATTATTATACATATTACGTAATTTCTGATTTGTAATTACATTATTTTCTCTGTCATCCCACTTCATGTTGACCATATTTATTCTGATCATTTATCTCACAATTTCATTTCACTCATAAACTGATTGAAGTAAACACTTCATATTAGTCATCCCAACATTTCATTTGACTTTATATTACAAACAATCCTTAATTCACATGTTACAATTTTAAAAGATTTACTTACTTACGCCTGCTACTCCTCGTGAAGGAACATAGGCCGCTCACCAGCATTCGCCATCCAACCCTGTCCTGGGCAATCCTTTCCAGCTCCTTCCGGTTGTTATTCATCCTTCCCATGTCTGCTTTTATTCCCCGACGTAATGTGTTCTTCGGTCTTCCTCTTTTCCGCCTTCCTTCAGGATTCCAAGTTAGGGCTTGCCTCGTGATGCAGTTTGACGATTTGCGTAATGTATGTCCTATCCATTTCCATCGTCTTTTCCTAATTTCCTATTCATCTGGAAGCTTGTTTGTTCTCTCCCACAAAAGACTGTTGCTGATGGTATCCGGTCAATGAATGTTGAGTATCTTGCGTAGACAGCTATTTATAAATATTCGCACCTTCTTGATGATGGTTGTAGTAGTTCTCCAAGTTTTAGCTCCGTACAGTAGAACTGCCTTGACGTTTGTATTGAAGATTCTCACTTTGATATTGGTTGACAGTTGTTTTGAGTTCCAAATGTTCTTCAATTTTAGGAATGCGACTCTTGATTTGCCAGTCCTCGCCTTTACATCTGTATCTGATCCTCCTTGTTCATCGATGATGCTTCCCAGGTATGTGGAGGATTCTACATGTTCCAGAGTTTCGCCATCAAGAGTGATTGGATTGCTGTTCTCCGTTTTGAATTTGAGGACCTTGGTTTTCCCCTTATGTGTGTTGAGGCTTACTGATGCAGAGGTTACTGCTACACTGACTGTCTTTATCTGTATTTGTTCATGTGTATGCGATTGGAGGGCTAGGTAATCTGCAAAGTCCAAATCGTCTAATTGGTTTTGAGCTGTCCATTGTATTTCGTGTTTTCCTTCAGATGTTGAGGTCTTCATAATCCAGTCGACCACCAGAAGAAAGAGGAAGGGAGAGAGTAGACAGCCTTGTCTGACTCCGGTCTTTACTTGGAATGCATCTGTCAGCTGTCCTCCATGCACGACCTTGCACTGTAGTCCATCATTTGAGTTCCGGATAATATTGACAATCTTTCCAGGAACTCCATAGTGTCGAAGAAGTTTCCATAACGTCCTTTTCATAATCAATGAAGTTGATGTACAGTGACGAGTTCCACTCAACTGATTGTTCGACGATAATTCGTAGTGTCGCAATTTGGTCTGTGCACGACCGATCCTTACGGAATCCAGCTTGTTGATCTCGAAGTTGGGCGTCTACTGCGCCTTTCATTTGGTTCAGCAACACTCTGTTGAAGACCTTCCCTGGTATTGACAGTAGTGTGATGCCTCTGTAGTTTTCACATTTGCTCAGATCTCGTTTTTTGGAATCTTAATGAGGTGTCCTTCTTTTCAGTTCATCGGCAATTGCTCCTCTTCCCAAATATTTATGAATAAAAGGTGAAGCATGCTTGTAGTTACTTCGATTTCTGACTTCAGTGCTTCAGCTGGTATATTGTCGGGTCCTGCTGCTTTCCCTCTCTTGATTTATCTGATGGCCATTCTGATTTCTTCTGTCGTTGGTGGATTGACATCTATGGGAAGATCTGTGTGCGCCGCTTCGATGTCCGGTAGATTTATTGGAGCCGGCCTATTCAGGAGTTCCTCGAAGTATTCTACCCATCTGTTCCGCTGTTGTTAAATTTCAGTGATTGACCTGCCTTCTTTATCCTTGACCGGTCTCTGTGCCTTAAATCTAGCCAATTTTATGGATTATTAATTTGGATTTATAATTGTAGAACCTGTTGAGAAATTATTGGAAAGAATATTTTTCGTTCATATAATTGTGTTTTAATATAATGGGAATTTTTCAAGGAATAACGTGAATCACCACCTCTTACTGAACCAACGTACTTAATGTTCTGAGATGTTATGGAATTATATAATCCAATAGATTGTTGTAGCTGGTCATGAGTGATAGCTTTGGTGATTGAAAAATTAAAAATCCAACTATTTTGACTTATGTTTTCGTCACTGAATTTGATTTAGACTACCACCTATTAACGTTGTCTTTCACACGAATAGTGTGCTTTGGATTTCAGAACTGAATATTTGATAGTTGTGTTAAATTCTCTCGTTTGATCAATATTATCCTGATGGTCCATATGAAGTTGAGGAGCCAGTTAATTAATGTTTTAAAAAAATAAAACTGATTAATAGCTAGTGCTTATACCATGGCAGTACTAAGTGTTTTTTACTGCGTGGTAATCTTCCTGAAATAGTATACTATTTTCAGCGTAGACCAGTAAAACGTGTTGACAGTGAGATAGATGCAGTCGACTACATCAGATAGTTGTTATCGCATTATATTGAATTGATGAAGGTTCGAAATATGAGACATCACGCTTACCGTCAGACTAAAGTATCCTTGACTCGATCCTTGTTAACGTCATGCTTCTGCTCTACCGAGGAGTTTTAAACTGTAATGAATTAGTTGGTTAGCCCTCCTTAATTCTCAATAGTTGTTCAACTGAAATCAATCCGTACTGAAGACTAACATTTTTTTCGCTAGTTTATTTGAAACATATTCATTGACAAGATATCAATCATACCCAGAACTCATTCTATATTGGTTCTTTTTATTATTTGGTTTCTAGATTCCGACTGATTTCCATACTGTACCTGAAGGTTCTGAACCTCCTTTATTTTGGCAAGTGTTGGGTGGCCAGAAGAAATATGATACATCAGCAGACTTCCTTACTTACGGCCGACTCTTTCGTTTGTCTAATGAACAAGGTTATTTTTGTGCATCAGAAAAGTGTGCAGATTTTTGTCAAGATGATCTTGCTCCAGACGATGTCATGCTGTTGGATACGGGATCTCAGGTTGGTTTGGCATTTATAGTTTGTATCTCATTATTATTAGTTGACTGACAAGTATATATTTTATTTTTGAAAATATATCATTGTTATGTGGCTATCTTTAACTCTGTTCTTCTTTTCTCTATAAATCTGTTGAAAATATGTCGCATTTTATCCGGCTTAAACTAACCATCCACAAGACAGCGAGTTTTATTAAATATTGGTGGTTGTTTTCATTCTCTCATTCTACTAGTTAAAAAATTTATATCTAAACCATTTCAAAGAATGTCTTTTAGGGATTTAGGCATATATATATATATATATATATATATATATATATATATATATTTGTAATTTATTGTAAGTTGTTAGTCGTCAGTGAAATAATTTATTATAATGGGGTTTTGTAGAGATTGTAGTGATTTTAATAGTTGCTGAGGTGTCCCGTACTAGGACGAAACAGCCGCCTAGTCCTCCCAGGTTTTCATTGATAGTTTAGCTTACATCGACTCATCAATTGAACTATTAAAATAATTTTTTGACTTTTTTCTAAATATGAGATAATGTTCATGAATAACACAGTAGGAAGATAGTGCAAAGTTTGAAATAATCGATATTAATAATTTAAATATCATGTTATCTGTCAAAGCTTTTAATTTCCAGTCACTTTTCTTCACTTGCTTCACCCTATTTATGATCAAATGTTAATTTAATTTGGAGTTAATAAGCTTAGGATGTTTACGATTCGTTAAATTTAGGCGCATCATAAAATATCAGTTCGATATACAGTGAGAGTTTTCTATGAAGGAAACTTTATTTAGTACTTTTGTTATTAAATAAATAATAATTTATCATGTGCTTTTATTACCGATAATTACACTGAGCCAATAAATAAGCATATTGTTGAGTCGGCTTTCCGAGAACTGCAACGGAGCCTCCAGAGGCCCTAGAGGAGCCGAAGAGTCCTAGCCAATCAGAGCATGATGGAGCTTTCTAGAATGTTAACGTTGAGTGCTACTATTGGTCAGTAGCATAATGTCTTTTAGCGGATAGGCTAAATTATGATGTTGATTTAACAGATGTTAACATCCATAAATACCCGTGCTTTCTGTACAAAAAGGAACCTTGGAGTAAAGTATTTTCTCGCATACTTCGCGTCTTCTCTCTTGTGTTCAGGTCGCTGATAGTTCTAGCTTGGGGGTTCCAAAATAGCCTAGAAGACGAATATAGCGTTGAATTCGCAAGACTTATCGCATATAGACAAGATTTATAAAATTGCTAGTGTTCAAATATTGTTTCCTCGAACACATGTTACTCACTTCGAGCTATAAAAAGTAGGAAAAAGAAAGTTAACTGATTCGTCAGTTTCTTGGATATGAGCCACACTCTAATTGTCAGGACTTACGATACTACCCGGTTCCATAAAACAAAGTTGGTGGATCAAGGTTCTGACTTGAGACTTCTAATAACCGCTGATCTAGTTGATATAAAATTTTCGATTTGCTAAATTTATTCTCACTTATTTTGACTTCCTCTTATTTTCTTCCTTTCCTGTATGTGTTAATGACATTCATTAGATATACCTTTGGTGGAGTAAACGTACATCAGACGTTGAACAGAAATTATCTTTACAAGCTGCTAAACTTTATCAAAGTCATTTACGTCAGATGCAACCGGACCGACCAAGACAACTTAAGCTTACAGTGAAAAATGCTGAACCACATTTATTTCGACAGTGTTTTCATGGTTGGGGACCATATCGTGAACCAAAAGATTGGTCAGGTTAACAAGTTTAGCTGCATTCTCTTTTCGTTTCTCCTTGTTATTTATGTTTGCTTTTATTAGTTATCTATTCCGTTTTGTATTTACAAATGAATACACAGTTTAGTAGTGCATATATCAAACCTAACTTGTATGTCCGTAAACTTTTTTTACTGTGAACAACTTTCTTATTACTGTTCTTTATTTACAATCGTTTCAGTTTGATTTCTTTCTATACTCATTTTCTATATCAACATTTCATAACGTTTATTCCTTTTTTTTCCCCTTTTTTTCTAAATATCATTTTCGTTTCTGTTATTTTTCTTCAAAGCTTTATTGTTTATTTAGTCTATCGATTATTAATAATCGTGAGCATACTACTTCTGTTATTACTGGAAAATATGTTTCTTTTACACTAATTAAAGCTGAGTATCGAATATTTGCAATACTAACTTTCTCTCTGACTTCTAGAACTGCCACTACAGTACAAATTTTGAACCTTAAATAACTCGGAAGGTGCGACAATCAAATAATAAGTGCGACATCTTTGTAACGAAAAATACACTAGATGGTTTATTCCCTTTTGGTGCAATATAGTGTTTCGAAGAAATTCCATGTTCAGTATTAACTGGTGGATGTTATTACTATTTGCGGTGTTGTCCGATGGGGTCTGATACGTCATTCTCAGACAAGTAGTTGATTTCTCGATTCTTCTTGTTCATAGGACACAGCATTTGCTTGGCAGAAATACCGAAACATCTTTGCGAAGTAGAAGCTGTTTAGCTACGAGGTGAACATGGACTTCTACAACTAGACATTGAGATTGCTAAGTCTACCCCTATATGTTTTGATAAAATGACGTCAGTTGTTAATAAATAAAACATCTATCTGATGAGTTTTTTCGAGTCTAGTCTATTTTCTTTGAAAGTTAACGTGCGGCAATCGAACTTGTATGAACCTGTTTTCTGAAAGGTAATTTTGATTACTCAGAGGATATTTTAATTGATAAAAACTCGTTTAGGATACCTGTAAACTATAAGTGGTAAAAAAGTAACTAGTAGCATTTTCGAAGGTTCTGTTGTTAATGCTTGCATTTTAAAGAAAACATATTAATTGTTTAGCTCTCGACCGTTATATTGCAGCTTGTGTTCCAAAATGAAGACAATGATATGGTTGTATTACTCTGTTGTTCATACAATCGTATAAATATCGTTTTAGCCTCATCGCCTTGTATTGTTTTTTTTCCTACTATAATAAATCTACAGTTTGATCAGTGTAAAAGGACGAACTAATAGTTAGGATTTGATGATGAAAATTTACATAACTATATGTTTTCAATAAGATCCACATATTTAAAATACCACTAACTAATTTGTGAGTAAATTCTTACATTTCATTAATGGCATGAATATAAAAATGGTAAAAAAAACCGTCCATTTTTTTAGATTCAAAATACATTGAAGTTCTATAATGTTTGGAAATCATGTCTACTTGAAATCCATATTTCAACGAATGTCAAAACAAACCAATTTTCATGTGTTTACAGAAAGCTCAGACTTAATTGCCGGATTCCTAAATATCCGGCGTTCTAGATCTAAGTGAATAATCGGTTTGTAACTCCAGGTGTCATAAAACAATTAAAGCTCAACTATCTGTCCATCCATTCATATCTACTTACTGAATAACATTGCATTTTATTCCTCTGTAATTAATAAATCTGTTTAAATGATTTATATCACTATAGTTGACTTGTATCATAGTATCACTGTCGATTAAATTACATTGATATTTGGTAAGAAGATAGTAGGAAAACTTTAAATGTACATTTTGTTTTATTTTGTAATCTGTTTATATTTGCATAAGTGTAATGACAATTACCTCTTACGATCCCTATCAGTAATTTGACGAATAAGAAAATTTTATCATTATTAGTTCATTGATATCACTGATTCCAATAGCAAATAAATTGATGACCTCCCGCTTAATCAACATACTTTACTGTCCTTTACTTTAAAAAGAAATCTGTTCAAAAATGGATTAACTTGAAACAGTTTTATGAGTACATGCATGTTCAATATATAGGTTTATCTAAATCTCTGTAATCGGTTAGGGGATTATCTCATTTTTTGTAATGTATCCAATTAGAATTTTAATGATAGTCTCATTGAGTTATAAAAAGTTTAGGGAATCCTTCATCTATGGGTGCTAATCATCAATTAATAACTAAAAATAAAAAGCATCATTTATAAATCAACCTAACTTATAAATAATTATATTTCATCAATATTAAAATTATGTTTATTTTAATATTAAGTAACACTTACATTACCTACACACACACACACACGAAACATCTACTTTCAACATAACTAATAGTTTTCTAAGAAATAAGAACCAAAAAACCCTTCTGATTTTTGATTATTTGGAATTTCTAATGCATACTGAATTTTCATTATTTCTAAATTTTAAAAGAAAATTGGATAAGCTTTAAAATTATTTGTGTTACTATAGTTATCGTTATTTGTTTTTGACAAAATTGATGGATTTAGAATATCAGTTTATTGTTAAGAAATGGTTTATTATTTTTTCGTTATCTTCAACATTTTATTTATGTGATACATGAATATCGATTAATTTTTAGGGATATAGTTGGAAGACGTTTTTCATCATAAAGTCATCTGTAAATCTCTGAATAGCAGAATTGAGATAATCGAAAATCAGTTACTATTAGGTTGTTACATACATTTCATAAATAATGAGTTTAATAACATTTCTTTACTTTTTATTCTTTTACATTATTTATTTCCTTTGAAGTGAAATTTTATTTTTCTTACGTACTTACTTACGTCTGTCACCCCTCACAGAGGAACATAGGCCGCTCACCAGGATTCTCTATTGAACTTTGTTCTGGTCAATCCTTTCCAGTTGCTATTCATTCTTTTCATGTCTGCTTCCAATTCACGATACAATGTGGTCTTTGCTTTTATCCCTTTCTTTTACCCTTCAGAATTTCAAGTCCAGCGTTCGCCTTGTGATATAGTCTGATAATCTCAGTAATGTATTTTCTACCATCTTCAACGTCTTTTCCTAATTTCCTCCTCAGTTGGAAGCTGGTTTGTTCTCTCCCACAGTAGGTTGTAGCTGATAGTATCCGGTCAACGGGCATTGAGCATCTCGCGAATACAATTGTTTGTAAATAGTTGTACATTTTCGATGACGGTCCTGGTAGTTCTTCAAGTTTCATCTCCGTACAGTAGAACTGTCTTGACGTTTGTATTGAAGATTCTAAATTTGATGTTTCACTTCTTACTCATTATGAAATTACAAATGTGTAATTATTTTTTATTAACAGTCTATCCAATCTAACTATTTTGAGTTATCCAGTCAAATCCTTGTAATGATACTTAATGTATTTTTCATGTTTCGTTTCTAACCGTTCTTCCCCATAAATTTTGCTCTTTCAATGTATTGATCGAAATGTGATTAATTTGAACGATGCACTGTAAAAATGACCATCATCCAATTAAATCTGATTTATTAATCTATTCGAAAAAGGTCAATCAACAACGTGATCTGAAGTCAACAGAACAAGACAGTCAAGTAGAAGAGAAAGGTAGGGGAAACGTATGAGGACAATCAACCACAAATAAGACTGCCGAAACCAACTTATATGAGTCTCGTGGAATAATTAAGAAGTTCGCTTCTACATAAAGTAAGCAGTGATAATATTTTGCGGAATGGAAATGAAAACTCATCAATTAGACCATTTATCTCAAAGAACTCAAAAACAAAAAAAACCCAACTGACTTTTGAAGTACTTCGTAGCTCCTCCTCATAACTACCAGCAAAATTAGTAAATAGAACTACCTTCAACTATTATTTATCATTGTAAAATATTGTCTCCAATTGTCAACCTGTTTAATAATTTACTATCATCTAACATTCATTTTGTTTTATTTTCTCCTTTTTGGAATCTTTTAATTAATTTTTTCCCATTCACTTCACAATTCTTTGAGTGATAATAAATTAAGTTTACTGTCCAGATAATAATCATTTTTATCGAGTTTATTGTTAATATACAATTAACGCTTCTATCAAGTGCTAATCAAATTAATACAGTTTTCTAAAAAATTAATTATATGTACAGTCATTATAGGTTGTTTTTCGCCTTTGTATCATAAATTATCACGAAATTGTTGTCTTCTATTAAAATGAAAATGATTCTGATGAAATATTGAACATCAAGAGGGGACATTAAAATGAATTGTTCATATTGAAATATGCCTAATCAGTAGACTAGCATAGAATAGATTAGCTGTACACAAGTATGCAGAATTCATGTTGACAGATCAATTGTTGAATACATAAATAGTATAGTGCTTGTGCACAACGTGATACACTTTATTCTAATAGCACTACTTACTATTTGAACGTAATCAAAATACAGAAGGAATTAAATAAATATACATTAGGTCATTATTATAAATTCCTTATCAAATTATATTTTCATAAACATAAACACTATATATAAAAGTAGAAAAGTGGTTTTCAGTTTTTAGAAAAAAAAATATAGCGTACCACATTAATGGAGGACTGATTTGATTTTGTGATCAGGCATTAGTTCACAATCTTATGATTACAATATAACTAAACCGTTTTGTCAGTTAGCGATTATAATTATTTGGGTCCCGTACAGATTTCTAAAAACAAACAGCATTTGTCAATAATAATCCTGATTTTCTAATAATAAGCAGTGATTTGTGGAGGTACCTAAGGATAGAATAACATACCTACCTATGACTGCTAAAAGTAAACAATGGTAAGTTGTAAATCTACTGAAAATGAAGGGTTGACCTCTGAATCCCAACTTGATTATTGAGTGATATGATATCACTTCAAAACCTTGGAATCGAAGGTATCCACAGTCGAGGAGTTTCAAACCAGAAAAGTAAACCAACCTAATGCTGCTTGGTCTTTATTAGTTATCCAGCAAATTGAATGAAATCATAATCCTATTCTAAACAGTACCAGTTTGTCGTTTAGAAATGTTATTTAAATACAATGTAATCTGTTTAATAAGACTTCCATTTTCAAGCTGACAGTATGCCGAATATGAACATGTTAAATAAAAGGGGTAACACTGTTTACTAATAATAACAAAGATGAAAGAAAAGCGCTTTAGTTGTTGAAGTTTACGCAACCGGCACTTTAAAGAAATTAGAATGAAACATATAGTTAAGTACTTCATATACAATTTAAAACAAACAATCCAGTAGATGGATGAGTTATGTTAAATGTTCATAAGCATAAACAAATAGGTCTTGAACATATTCTAAAAACAGTCTTCATTAAAAAAACGGAACAACTGTTCGAAGTACATTCATGGTAGTTTTTTCCCTTATAGTTGTATTGTTCGTATACAGCAACTTTTATTGTCTGGGCAAGTGGTTAAGCTTATACACCACTGCCCCGAAAAAAAATATCTTGAACATTCACAAAGTTGACAGACATTTTGCTAGGCTACACATATAGCATACAGTATTGTCATGGTTGTCTCAGTCATTCTATCCAAATATAATTCAACAAAGAAAAGCTAGGTAGAAACTGTGTTAGTGACTTAAACCAACAATTACTGTGTTTATGTTTTCATGGAACACACAATAAATCTGCCAAACTCTGACGTAAATATCTTTGAAATATAATCATAACTACGGGGCACTAAACAGACGAATCAATAAAAAACAATCTATATTTTATGCATATAATAATAGGTGATGTATTCTAAATATGAAACAGACAATATTTTTGATGCGAATTTGTAAAAACTACCTGTACAGATGATTTTCATATATATAAGATAACTTCAGCTTTTGAAATTGAAACACATAGGAAACTTTCTTCTTGCTAGAAATTTTAAATCAACATGGTTTATTTTTACTTCAAGATTCCTTTATTCTTTCAGAAAAACTGATGTGTAGGTTATCAGATTCATGTATTTGCATTGTTGCACCTGTTGTAATCCATTAGGGAAATTTGTTTCATTGTGTGATTTGGAAATATTCAACTTCAAAGTACACAGAATTGTTACTGAAGTTGGTGACAAATGGACCATCAGAATGATACTTTCATGTAGTTTCACGATGGTGCTTAGAAAGGCTGCTCATAAAAGTTATAAATATTTTGTCTACGACATTATGACAACGCTACTAATAACCTTAATTCTATCCTGAAATTCACTTAGTTTAACGGGTGTTTTGAGTATTTAATGAAGTTCTGTGATGACAGAACTATACAGTGTTACAAAGGCAATTCTTCAGTGACCAATAAGTGATTTTAGTTGTAAATACCATAGATGACAATAACTTATTTACGAAGCAAATATTAATTTACTTGGATTTAACCCACACTTTGTATAAAGGCCAGGCCATTACCAGTTACCCAAACAGATGTAGGTGAATCATGATTCGAACTCGATGCCTAATAATTTAGAACTAAATGCCTTTATCATCAAGACGTAAATAAAGGAAACTATCGTCCCTAAGTGATTAAATTCAATGATAAATTACGAAAGATAACTTTGATGTTTCTCACTGTTCATTTCTAAAATAATGTACTCACTTTATACAAGTTTACTGATATATTTAAATCAGAATAACCGTGATTATTATTTCTCTGTAGATTAGTGAATTCATTATTGAATAGATCAATACCTGACATTATAAATTCATTGACTTATCAATTTTGTAGCTTAAATATATGACAATACGTACTTTTTTAACTATTAAAAACATTTTTACTTTTGAATAGATTTTGGACTTACTTTTCTAACGATTATAAATAGTTCTACATAACGACAAGGTTCATATAGTGGAGCAGAAGAAACAAATAATCTTTAAAATAATAGTCCAAAACTATTCATTAATTATAAATCTCTTAGAATAATGACAATATGTTACAAGTAGGTCTTATCAGAAAATATGCAGTAGCGTTTTGTGTAATTTCGTTCAGAGAACACCTATTGATTTAACAAGAAAATTGTTAAAGGAATTCATATATTTACTGACTGGTGAAGCTAGATAGATATTGATAATGTTTTATGATAATTATACATGGATATTTGTTGTGAGAAGTTAGGTTTACACAGGTGGATACAACAAATTTTTGGTCACTTCGAGAACTTTGATCTTTTGAACTTATTTTAGAATACAAAAATGGTTAAGCACTTCTAAAGGAATACAAATGAAGATAAAACTGTTATTCTGTAATCTAGTAGTATACATTACACATGTCTATTTATCTTTCAGCAACTTGATAACAATTTTACATTTTTCAATGGTTTGGTTTCAAACTAATTATGTACTGGGAATTTATTCAATACTTTTCTCTGCAGTTTTCTTTTATTGTGAGACGACCCGATTTTCTTGCATTCAATAATGAGCTTATTCAAAAAGTACTGACAGTTCTGATCAATAAATTTTAATTGATTTTACTCAGTTTTAGCACCTAGACATCTTGAACAGTTTCTCTCCTTAGTAGAGGTGTTCTTTGTCTTTCTGTTTGAAACTTACTCGAGCCTACTAATATGAGTACTCGGGAAAGTGAAAAACTCTAGTGAGTTAGTTTTCTTCGGGATGGGGTCGCTAACCCCATGCCCAACCCTCCTCCTTTACCCGAGATTGGGACCGACAGTGGCTCTAGAAGAGCTAAAGGCGGAGTTAGTTTAAGTATTAGATAGTAAAAAATATTTTTCACTAATCAATTAGATTTGGTCAGAAGAATACTTTAACTTACAAGTTGATCATACATAATAATGACTTCGAAAGTTGTTTAAAACACCTGCATTTTTTGCATAATCATTTGTATCTACTAAAACAATAATCAGTAGCTCAAATAAAAATAAAAACCTTTTATCTGGAGCAATTTCATTATCGGTAGATTTTAAAAGACTCGAAGGCGAATTTCATCAAAAACTGTTAATCATCCAACAATTAACAAACTAAAGAACGAAAATGATAAGTATCAATTATTATTTCACGGTTCTTTAAAAATATTTCAAAACACAAATTAAAGAGTTACCGAATTTAACGAGCCTCATGTAATTCTATGTATCATAATGGTACATGAATTTGTACTGAACGTAACAGATTACTTCATAGTTATATGTATAAATAATATCTACTCTAAAGATTATTTATGTTGAAATATAACACCAAAGTAACACCACTTATCTCATGTAAAATACTCAATTTTCATAGTTTATTCATACATTTACGATTATATAATAATTTCTAATCAAATAAATGAATAGAATTCAGTATGGGAATTATAAAACTATAATATTTATTAAGTATATTCTCAGTTTGAATTCTCTAATACAATGAGTGTATATTCACACTAATGAAATCATGAACACTTAAAGAGATATATAGATAATATCAGTTCATACTTAATATATAAACACATGAAATATGAATTGAGATATAAGACAGTCACTAGTAAGTGTTGTCGTTTTTTTCTTTCAGGTTATTTCATCGATCTTAATAATAATTCTTACCATAATTCAAATGTTCTAGATATTAGTCAACACATCTATATATATATACAGCTTATTAGCTGTTGTAGCAAGTACTTCATATTATTTTGAAAGCTAAAAGACCAATGGTTAATTTAATACAGTTAATACTTCAACCTTTTTTCTATCTATCTACCTACTTATATATATAACACATTAATTCAATGTTGATTGTATATTAAGTTAAGTTCATAGAATCTAATTCATTTTAAAGTTATAGTGATGATATTTTCTTAATGTATTTGATTCAAATGAACTTCTGTTGAATGTTAATATTAACCTTGTTAATTATCAAACAATATTGAATTGTTTATATTATCTTATTGTTATATTCATCATTTGTTTCCTGTTTTTAAAAAAACAACAAAAGCAAAAAGAAATCTGTCTACATTATACAATAAAGGGAACTAATTATTCGATAAAAGAGATGTATAATTGATATTTGAATATTTATTAATTAATTAATGGATTGATAAATATCTTTTTATGAATATATGATTACTGATGACTGCGAATGTTGCATATCAGTTAGCTTGGATGGAATTATTGGATACAGAAAATAGGTATATTCATTTATTACAAGATGTTTATGATGTAAGTGAATATATTTTTAAATAACAATCAGCCTTTTTTAAATGACTTCACATTTACAAATTGTTCAAGGTGTAATAAGAACTTTTATTCGTTTAAGGGAATACATGTTTTTGTATAAACACTTACATAACTGTCGGCCTGCTTGAGCATCTGGGCTACCTGTTCTTGTCATCTAGATATTTCAACAAGTTATCTATTTTTATTTGTTTTTATATATCATTATGTCTATTAATCGCATAACCTATTCTGCTGCGTTTCTGAAAAGTGTACAACCTTTCACTGTCAAAGTTACAAACAGCCCAATAAGAGATAATGTGGTCACTGGAAATATGCAGCGAAAAGAATATACATTATTCAGATATTCAGTTACTGAACTGCTTACATCTAACTGGCGATCACTCAATATTTATCGTTAGGATCGACCAAGAAGTAAGAACCGGAAACTTGTTGAAATACTTTGTGCTGAGAATCCTATATTGTACCAAAAATATAATATTGAATAAAGCTAATAATAATAATAAATGTTCAGTTTAAACTATCTACAAGTTTATATCGGTTTTACTTATTTACTGTTAAACTGGATAAGTTTAAGGGTTACGTTACCTGGTTAATTGTGTATTAATATATGTTGACAAAATAAATAACAAACCTCAAGATTTTTAAGTTGAATTATTAAATAATCCATTTAGGGGCACTGTCACTAAGCTGAATGATTATCAACTAACACCTTTATCATATGAACTCATTTTATATTTTTGGTTCGTCTATTCTAATATTCTTAACACAGCTATGATAGAGTTCGTGTTTTTTCTAGAACCATTATTCTAAGGTGATATTAAAATAAATAAACAAGTAACTTAGTTGATAACTTTCGTATCTTATCACCTTCTTGCAAGCGAAATATGTAGCGTTTGAATATTGTTGTTATCATTAAGAAATGAAAATGTAATATTCTAGATATTCTGATTAAAACTGAGTCATTTGAAAATGACTAGCCTCTGCTGACTCTAGGCTTTGTCAATAATCCTCCAAAGATACACTAGTGGTTTTTATCATGATATTTAATTTTGCTGTTCCCCGAAATAACGATTTAATCAGGGGAAGATCTATTAACAGATTAAAAGTTATCAAATCTTAGAAACAGTTTTCATCTAACTATTACAAATCAATTAGCAGAAGTATGAGGTAAAATCAAGCAATCATACGAAAACTGATAAATTGGAGTATCCTATTTCTATGTTTAACAAATAAGCTTAAATAATATTATTTAAAACAAGCAGATATGTCTAAATAGATAAAAGTGATTAGTTAAGCCAGTCGAACACTAAGATTTCAAGAAAATCTAAGACGTTTAACCAGCAAGTTTATGTTATATTCATCACAGTTCTGCATAATTATACTTTAACTGAAACTGATCAATTTATGTTCGTATATATGCCTCCTGAGCGAACCAGTTCAGCAAGTTTGGATGGATTTGAAGGGCAGTTAAAAGCAGATTCTAAAGAGCCTACTTTATCCCATTTGGAATTCATCAGTTAAAAGTACGGGGATCCAAGTGGTGACGTTTGTTGTACTCATTTCAGTTCTTGTTATAATATTGTTTAAAAAAGATTTTTCATGCTTATTTCTATCATTTACATAAAAACTTTTGTTTTCGTTATTTCGTATATACCAAATGAATTATTTTATAATTCAGAAGGCCATGATAAACAAAGAAATTGACTGTAAAACATCAGTTGGTATTACACAGATTCCACTTACTCAATTAAAACAGAAATTACTTGGGAATTGGTCTGAATTACTCTCATTTCATAAAATGTAAGTTATTTACAATTGTTTAACATAATATATAAGAACTTCCGTTTAAATTTAATCGAATAGTTTCACAGTATTTGGGCATCGAGTTCATGTTTAGCAAAATATTCATCTTTTATAACCTGTAAATTGTCTAATTTTTCAGATAGTATAAGTAGTCTAAACTAGACTATAATGGCTAATTAGTATTTAAGTAAAAAAATATTATAGTGAATTCTTTCGACAAATCAATTATTGGATCGATAACACTTATGTGTGTATGGAGATTTGAAAATATTTAAATATTGTCACATGATCAATATTTAAAATTCAATGAGAATATTTAAAAAATTTTGAAAACAGTTTCTTAATATTTATCTTATCTTGAAAATCAAATAAGAAGTGATATTCCTTGTCGATTGAACGCTACTTGTTATATATGATTGTCGTTGATTGTTGTGTTGGAAAAATTTATCACTTATATTCGAAACGAGGGAACTCTGCAGTTCCCATGATGTGAAAGTAAGAACACAAAGACTGGTATAAGTGAAAATTTATTGTCCCCAAAACACGACGACGACCGTAGTCGAAAATACACTAATTTCTATGTTGATTCGTACACCGATTTTGATTAATAGTTAGAATAAAATCACATAGATGAAAAATGAAATAGTTAGATTTTGTTTTTATAGGATATATGATTATTGTCAATATTTTGAAGCTCAGAGTACATTTGTACCATACAGACTTACTAAAACCCAGCCCTGAATGTCAACAACTGGAAGACCAAAAAACTCTTGGGAATGATAAATATAATATCTGTTAAACACGCTAGTGAGTACTTATACTCAATTGCTTAGCAACTAACTAGCTACTTAAGTGGTAGCTATGGGAGTCGAATATGAATATCAACACTGAGATACAGGTACCAGCGAATCAGTTATAGACTCGCTTTTTCAATTTTTCAGATATTTTAATTTTCTACTTTCGACACCATTACTTCCTCATTTTATTGACTAAGGATTCTTTTTGTAAATTGCTCAAACATTGATTCGGGATGGTTTGGCTGTTTTCAAAACAGTGCATATTTAATTTTATTAAGATTTGATTTTTTTTATACACTCATCCGTCCTTGGTTGGTTGTTCTCTTGTTTCTGAATGCTAGTTTTTGTCATTTACTACAGAGTATATGATCCTTAAATACCACTAAATCTAGGTACTATGTTTCAAATTAATGTCATCATTTGCTTACAGGGTTTGACACGTAAAGCAGTCTTAGTTTATAATCCTCGGGAGGATTCTACAACTGAAAACGTATCTCTATTAGCTGCGATAAGCAACTACAGGGACCTTCAGTAGAATGTTATTCACTAAATAATCAAGAACTGTATTAATGATAAAGTTTACTTTTGTTAGGTGAAACTTTTCGAAATGACTGTCATTACGTAATAATTTTATCTGAAGAAAAATAGAAAGTTTCAACTCACTGGAAAGTATTGTATTTATAGATTTCAATTTACATGATAATTTTCTTTGAAAAAATATGTAGATCCAAGTTATCGAATTTATTCTGGTAATTTGATTTGTCCTCAGTAAACGAAAAAAGTAGCTAAAATATTTCCTCTGGGATTCTAAACCTTTAGACAACAAAACTTTTCCCCCACTATGATATACATTGCAGGCATGTTCTACCTACATTGAAAGAATGCAATGGAAATGCTAAGATGATCAAATATTGGGCTTCTGTCATGGTATGTTCTATTTCGTAATTAGTTTTCCAGTCATTTTATATATTAGTAGCCAAGTGATAACCGTAATCCTCAATTATGCATATCCACTTAAAGTTTATTCTTCGAAGGTTTGTTTTATTGAGGAAGAATTGTTACAGTCTGTGATTTTACGCACTCATTGCGCGAACTATTAGATCTTGAAAAGACTAGCTATGGAGACTTTATTTCTAAAAACAAACAATGATTTCTACAATTTATGCATATTTTGCAGGTGATCAAATCGACACGAATAACGACACGCAGAGGGTGACTTCGGTTACATAAACAATTTATCAATTGTCACTACATCGCCTACATCTTCATCTCAACTGAGATATTGTATGATATGTCTGGCATTTCTCAACATATGAATACTTGACTAAGCTACTGAGTTAGACAATTGTGTGTTGGTAATTTCGTGAGAAACACCTTCCATCCTTGTATTTTGTCATAAAGTTTATGTATTTCCATGAATAAATGCATAATGTAAAAATAATATAAACTAACAATTTTTCGAATGGCCGGAAGTAGTTGGCTATAAGTCACACATAATTTTTAAGAAACTAATGCACCTTCGATACTTTAAGTATGCTTCAGTCAGTGACACAGTAGAATATCTTCAGCTTAACTATTTGATTTTATCCGTCACAAAAAGTGAAGAATATTGCTACAATCAAAAACCCAATATTAAAATTTTTCTAACCGAATCTATTCAGTTCTAACCTTATCTGGACGATAAAATTACGTTTAATCCTTTGAGATTTATAGTAGAAATTAAATCATCATCTGACAAATGGTTTATCTATTCTACGACTGTTGGTCAAATAATTATAAACCAAATTGAAACTCTCCCTCTGCTATAATAAAATGAGAAGTTAGTACCTAACATAACAGAGTACTTCTCATTGTTGTACTGTCAACGCAGTTCATTTAATTGAACACTAAAATATGAGAAGGTTAATCAGTTTACTCGGCTGCTCAAATGGAAATTGGTCGACTGTCCGTTCCTAATATAATATTCATTGGCTTATGCATAACAGTTCCTTTAGAAATCTGCTGCTGAATTATGGTTTCTGTTGTGTTGATCCGTTTTAGTGAGTTCTTAAAAATAAACATGCTATCAAATGAAAGGAACATCGTTTAAGGATAAATGGTGTTAATAAATGGAAAGGGATATTACTGAATTGTTGTTACTGTAATCAAATGGTACAGTTAATAAAGTGTAACCGTCATATGCTGAATTAATTTCTAAATAAGTATTACATTTAAAATTTTCAATAAACAGCAATTATCAGAACTATGTGATACATTAGCGTAATACCTTTCGAGCAATCTAATCACTCATATACTTGTTAAAAATGTTTATATATAAAAAATTTAAAGGGTCAACTGGACTAAAAATGGAGGGTAAGCGGGAAACAAGGATAATAAGAAATAATGCGAAAACAATTTGAAACCTAATCACTCTGGGTGATGAGCTAATATTACCAAGGTAGGATTAAAGTGAGAACAAACTGTTTTTGAATAGACAAAGGGTTTGAATTTTCGTATGGTTAAGGCTTCAATAAACCTTACTATACGCCCTATTACACTTTTGTACAACACCAAAAAAGCCGAACTAAGATTAATCTTATGACGTGTTTCAATTATGTTTCACAATAGAGGATGATGGATGTTTACTATCTACTATTATGGGGTCATTTGATTTCATTTGTGTTTGCAACTATTTAGGTACATGTTCACACATCCTAACTTTAAGATCACATAGGGAGGATTAATCGTAATCTCCCTAGTTGACTTTTTATTTTTATATATAAACGGTCTTACCAAGTATATGTGCGATCAGATTGTTCAAACTGTGTTACGTTAATATATCACATAGTTCTGATAATCTTTATCTTCTTGTTACACTACCGAAATTTATCAAAAAGACTAATTGCTTCAAGCAATAATTCGTCTACACACGAATGGCAGTAAAGAAGGATTTTGTGAATTATATTTTGCATAAAACTTCAATTTAACTCGAATTAGATTGTACAAATGCATGAAATATCCAAAGGAGCAACTATAAATAAAAATAATATATTTGTAATATCCCAACGAGTAGAAAATTAGATTATCAAATCAAATCTTGGTAATGATACCTACAAAGGAGCAACTGTTGTTGGACATTCCTTCATCATTTGGTAATGAGATTGAAAGGATTAAAACCTGGTGAGATCAACTCACGTACCAATTAAGATAAACAAAATTTTCGGTTTGAAACGTTTCTATTCATCACTTTAGATTTTATTCTCTAACATACTTTTTATCGTCGTTTTCTTTTAAAATTTAGGCACCATGCTTCATTGACCTGTATACTATGTACTGTTTGTTCCATGAAAAGACAAAACGACTATGTACTTATTTAGGAAACGTTTCATGTAAAAGTGTGAATTTAAAAAAACCAAATGTAAAGAATGAAACAATTAGAAATTATAACACCAATACCGAGTTATTCAAATCTCAACTAACCAAACCTGTACGACGTATTCAGTCTTATCATGTATTATTGAATAAACTTCAAAAAGAAGCGAACTTATCTGATGTGTAAGTTTGACTAAGGTTTTCCATAAATCAACTAGTAATTACGGTATATTCTCTGTCAAACTTTCATTCTTTTAAGAATTTATAACTTGGTGTTACTGATCGGGTTAAGTTGTTTATTCTTTTCGATGATAGACTGACGAACCGACCAGTACAAATATTTCAGTCACATTTAGAATGAGCCGCCACCTATGTAATATAGTTTTAAGATCTATGAGAAACTGAGTTAGTAAAGTTAGTGATTTTGGGTGTTAATAAATTTCACAAGATTGCAGTTAAGAATTATGATGAATTTGGCTCAATACCGAGCCAAAGTAGAGGATGTCCCCTCGACTAACTTTAGACAATCAACATCATACAATGTTTGACACACGTCAAATCAATAAAACTGGTGGACGCGACGCAAACATTGTCGAAATATCATACACATAGTTCCCTTTATCGAAATAGTACAACTAACGCTAATAATCAGATTGTGTGACATTAACCAATACACGGTAATCAATTAAAGTAAATACAATATTTAAATGTCAATGTGAAACAGGCTTGTTAGCATTTGAAAACTCGAAATAACAATGTGTAGGTTGACAGTGAATTAGATAGTTCTCACCAACAAGTCCCAAACCTTACAAGATCTCCTATAAAATGAGGGAACCTCTATGGAGAACAGCTGAGAAAGGATTACAGAGACAACTAATTTAACATGTTAGGAGGTGTTGGACCCCAAAGAGTGTAAGTACAAAGAAAACGTTTTTGTGGACAGTTAAGAAAATATCCACAAGAATAAAAGACGAGAAGAGGTCACCCAATAACAGCTGAAGGAATCAATCGAATGGAACTCATAATTATACATAAACTTTCTCAATTATGAGAGCATAAGATAACGTAGATGTGAAAGTCCTGAGGAATCTTCTTTGAAATTATGGAGTAATTGAGAAGATCGTTGCCAACGTACGGAATCCTAATGATGGATTACACTTCAAAATCGGCCCTGGAGGATAGCTCACAGATGCATTACAAGTAAAAACTGGTATCAGAAGAAGCTTTCCATTATCACCCTTTCTCTCCGTTATGGTCTTTTGACTGGATTATTAAGATCTTTACATCTCACGGAAAGCATGCAATATAGTAGACACCATGAACCGAGCTATATGATTTGAACTTTGCAGTTGACTTAGCCCTTCAATCATATATACGGCAACAAATCCAGACAAAGACCAAGTAGCGCGATCTTATGCAGAAGTAGCCATCAACATTCGAAAGGAAAAAGTAAGATCCTAACATATAAAACAGTGTGCACCAACCAGCTCTGGAAGAGGAGGAGACTTTTACGTACTTGGGTAGTATTGTTGATAGACAAGGTGGATCTGATGCAAGTTTGAAGGCACAGATTGATAAACTGAAAGAAGTAATCCGACAATTGAAGAACATTTAAACTCAAAACAACTATCAGCCAACACCAAAGTCAAAATTTCCAAAGCTTATGTTAATGAAGTTCTGTTGTGCGGAGCTTTAACTTGTAGAACTACAACCGTCATCATCAAAAAGGTACAAGTATTTATATACAACCGTCTACACAAGACAATCCAGACCTATCGGTTAATGACCATCAATATTGGCTTTTTGTGTCAAAGAACAAACCAGCATGCTAGTTGAGGTGGAAATTAAGAAAAGACACAGGGGGGATAAGACATACTTTGTGGTACCTATCAAAATGTATCCCAAGGAAGTTCTAACATGGAATCCTAAAGCCGGAGAGAAAACAGAAAGAACAAGGAACACATTACGCTTGAACTTAGGGGAAGACATTTGAAGATTGGATAAAACTTGTGAACAAGTGAAAAAGAAAACATGGGACAGGATTATTTGGAGATCCCTGTACGGTGACCTATAATCCACGAAGGGTTTTAGGCTTGAGTAAGTAAATGTATTTTCACATAGTGTTACCTGTCGATCGTTGAATGGTCCATTTAACTAGATTAATTTTATCGCGAATTTAACCTAAGGCAATTTTAAAAAAGTACCTTCTTAGTGTTTAGTAAATGTCGATAAAATTCGTTACCCTTGGCATGAAAACGTTACTATTCTGATATTCCGACTGGTAGCTCCAAATATTCTTTATGTTGCTAAGCGACTGAAGCAAAACTGAATTTAATAAATGTTCTGATTCTGAGATTTTTAGTAATCCTGGCGAAAGACTGTAGAGATTACACAGAATACTCGTCATTAAGTACATTTTATATATCACTATAGCAGAGAATAATGATAAAGAATTTTTCATTAATGTCATATTTACGAAGATAATTCGTCAAAATTGACCACTATCTTCAGAAATTTTATAAATATTCAAAGCACACTTTGATACTTACTTTTTACCTTACATTCTGCCATAATAAAAAAGGAAATAAACCAACATTCTCAATATAACCTAATCAGAATGTTAATGTTACTTATCCCACAGTCGTCAGTCAATCAGCTACAATGTAAGACCAGGCACATATATGCATCGGTCCAAGTTGCCACACCTCATTAACACAGCAAGATTAACACCAAATTCATAGAAATAATTACTTCAGTGGTAGTAATGTATAAAAAAAAGATTGTGTGTAAGGATATAATAAAGGAAGAATGAATTAGTTCCTAGAAAGAAAGGTATAAAGTGATTTTAATCTCATGGTTTAAGGGAAGACAAAGAGTGTACACACCTACGCGATTGTGATTGATTCGAAGCCATGTCACTCAGAGTTTCCAGCCATTAGTTACGATAGTCACTCGGACCCCAACCAAGTAGTCTGCATCTACCAACATGGCTCAGATCAGAAGTTAATGACTTTATGGACTGATACCATGTTTTGTTTTGGCCGCCCTCAGCTTTCTTCCAACCTTCTCCAACACTAGTCAGCATTGTGCGTCGTGGTAAACGGTGCTCAGGCATACGTAACACTGTTGATTAATTAAGTTTTGTAACTCCTTTGTAGAAAACGACAAATTTTATCATTCCTAATATTTTAAAATCCGAATTCTATATTTAAAGTTTGTAATAATTTAAATTACAAATATTTGTACTTTTTTAAATTTAAGTAAATACTTGGACGATGCTCGTCAAATATTCAACAGAATATGTGATACAGTAAATGTGACAATGAATCTGCGTGGTTTGACGGTAATTATCAACAAATATTATCATGACCTTTTTTATGAGTTATTAAGCTTTCCTAATTACAGATCAACAATCTATATACATTGAACGAATTTACTCATTGATAATGAACAGTTAACCGCATTTAATAAATGTAGATACTTCATACACCAATTATCCAGTAGAAAAGTAGAAATTCACCGTTATCTAGATAATGATTTATTGTTGGTTGTTCTCCTATGAAACTTGAAAAAAATGCGAAATTCCTCTCAAGTCGAACTCAGTCAACAAAGTTATACAATTTTTAATTTGTATCAACAATAAAAATTATTTATGTTGTAACGGGTGGACTGCAGATTTTGATACGCAGCGTTTATATCGATCGACTCAGTGACACGTAACACGTAAGGACGACCTAGAGTCCCGACTGGTCCCGCTTCCCTGTCCAGCCCAGCCAGTTGAGTCCAGAACGCAAGTCACAGCCCCTGAGTTATGAATCATTGTATTTCAGAAATACTCTATTTATATACTAACCAAACAAACCACATCGTACCATAAAATAGAAAACAACATTTACACAATATTTAACAAGTGAAACAAAAATCGACGAAATGGAAATGTCCATTTAACGTTCAAGGACACCATTCGACTTAACACGATAATTATTGGCATATTCCTCTGCATACCTAACAATTTATATCTGTAATATGTATTGTGATACCATGTACTGTTCAAACATTTCTAATCTGAAGATTAGATAATTTAATATCCTATTTCTTTTTTATGCATATCCCAGTCGAACTTATTCAATAGTCAATAAAATAAATAAAACACTTAAGATTTACCATTGTCTATAGAAGTTTGGTGCACCAATTTTTGTTCTTACTCTTTTTAATCTGAATTTCATAAACAAAATGATATTTCATCATTATGGACTACAATTAAAAATAGCTTATTTCTGTATTAAAATAGCCATTATATAAAGGAAATATGAATGAGTTGTCGTTGAATTATTTTGCGGCTAAAATTTCTGAAAAACATATCATTAGAAAAGTTTATATATGAGGTGCCAAGAAAAAGACATTCTTTAAGGTGGTTAGTAAAGTCATGTGAAATGTAATGTCGAGGTAGTTATGGTAATAATGATAATAATAATAATAATAATAAACCATATAAATTAAGGAAAATGTATGCGTAGTCAAGATGGTTGAGTAGGATCGAGACAGAAGAGAAACAAATATAAACATGAGTTAAAGTTAGGTGTTCATTATATGTACCTCAGTAAAACGTTTATCCTATTGTCGGCCATGGAAAACAGATCAGACTGAATATATATCATTTAGATAGACAAGTTTTGTTTTATTAAAACTGATATCAGTATACATAGTCTTTTTAATAAATCATTCTTGGTTCATAAATGAATGGGTTTCCTTTTTATAGATATTAAGTTCCGTATCCATCAGATAAAATAGAATGATACCGGATTTTACAACCCGTTTCCAATCAAACGAGTACATTTTTATTTGTTAATTTCTTTTTCTCATAGTTTATATTACTGATCGATTTTATTTAGACCAACCCTAAAGACCAGATGCCACTGGAGAGCCGTGACAAGTCAAGTTGAACCATTTCGAGAGGAAACCAGTTATCCATATAAGGTAACGGAAGATCTCAATGCGATATTGCAAACTGATTGAAAACGGATACTTAGATTACTAGAGATCGGCTCAATAGTCTAGAGTTTTAGCTGTTGCTGTTTTGGTTACGCACTGCTGATGAGTCCTATACAGAGGCAAAACGTCTGTCCAGTGCTTTTCGATTTTTAATCGTCATCTATACAAATTCAGTCTGCAATCAAAACTATAAAAATGCAACACTCTCCTCAGAACGTCCATACTAATTTATTATTTGCTAATAATTCACAAACTTTAATTATGTATAGATTCAATCAACAACACTCACGTAATTTGACTTAAAGATCACTTTCTGACTAGTTAAAAATTTATTTGTTTGCTTTACAGTCTGTTCTGTTCAATTTTAATTCTATTTCTAAAACTACTATCATTTTATTTTTATTTCCAGGTAGCGCCATCAAAGTTAGGACATTTTTTGCTAGAAGCTGATTTTACTGTTAACCAAACAATCAAACCTACAAAGTCAAAACGACATTTTCATGTAATTTTATTTACTGAAATGTTACTGTTAACAAAATACCGTGTTTCGTTTAAAACATCAATTTCTAATAATAAGAGGTAATCATCTTGTTTTACTGAATGTTATACGATAATTGTTTATTTTTCAGCTCTGAAGATCAGTTTCCAAATTTGGATGATTATTTAGCATTCTTTGATTTTTCACATAATAGTAAGCTCAGTGGTAATAAATCATATGAAGTAGAAGAAGAACTTTGTGTAAGTACAGGTTCTTTTTAACTTTTCAGTAAAAGTAGTTATTAATATTGTTAACTTTACAATTTGCATCATGGATAAAGTTTAGTTAAACAGCGTTTGAAAAACAGAATACACTTAACAGTTGTTATATCCAGATACGGAACTCTTCAGGAGAGCAAATTCCCTACCCTAACTGAGAACAAACCTAGGGTCTCTAGAATTATCTGCTAGTATTTTACCTTCGAACTGCTGAGTTAGTAACCAGCAATTGACATCTTCAACATTAATAAACTTTTAAAACCAAGTCATAAATTATTTATAAGTCTATATACTTCATGAAATCAACGTTGAGTCAAAGAGTTAAAACAAGTAAAAATTATTCGAAGTCATTTTAAATTAGAACAGAATTATAAAAGTGTCTAGTCACTGAGTGATTCTTAAGATGATGAAGCTAGTTACTTCTTGATTGTTTGTATAATAATTCACATGATTTTAGCAACTGACAATGTTATGAACAATTCTGACTTAAGACGATGTGTACACTGGCTACGTACAAAGTATTGGATAACTGCTGATACCATCGATTCGGCATCATTATAATGGCTATTACTTTACTGAAAAAACGACATACTGTCATTTCTTCATGAACACATTTATAATGAAAAATATATCAAAAATGAATCATATTTTCTTTGTATTTCTGTATTTTTCTAAAAGCTACATCAAATTGGGTTATTTTCAAATTCACATGATCGATGTTTCTCACTATTTACCGAAAACTATGGATCCACTTATACATTTAAATCAAACGATAATACAGTGAAACAACTATGGACGAGTACAATCAATAAATTACTTATGAATCAATTGTACAATTTACGAGTTAATACGGATCCACAAATACAGACATTCAATAGATTATCGATTTCAAGTAGTCACTTTTCTTGGCTGAATCCAAATTTACCAGTAAATTCTAAAGTAAAGCAATTAAAAGAGAAGTGAAAGTAACATTTTTAAAAATAACGTCTGATTTTTTATTTCACTCACATTCTATGAATATTTTGGACAAAGGCAAATTAAAAACAGTTTATAATAATATTGTTCACAATAGGAGAGGTTAGTTGTGTTATAAAATCCGTTATATATAAAAAATTACACGTTTTGCTCTATTAAAATCAGAATAACGGTGTGAACAATGGTTTTATAAAAGAATATTTTTCAGTTTTCTGATAAGTCAACTTACTTTATAATCCTTTAGGTCATACATTTCAAAAATAACGTATATCAATTAAATTTTATCAAGTATTTTTTGCCTGACTATATGCTTTGTGTTTTTTTTGTGATTTTCACAAAGTACCTTATATTTATTTTTAAGTCTACATATGAAAAAATTTAATTCATCCAAGTTGATCTGATACATCTTTAGAAGTTGAGGTCATTTTCTAATTTCTCTGATATTATATTAACTTACTTAATATATATAAGTAGCATATATTTTTCTTGTTAATAATTCACTTTTTTTTCATAAAAATATATGGAGAAAATTATTACCACCTGTTGATATGCCCATGTGGAAGTAGGTAATCAGTTAGCAGGCAGCTAATTCTTAGCCTTCGGAATTGTCACCGTATCCATGGGATTTCGTAATTCTGGAAAGCAAAAAAATGAATAAGCAAAAGACTTACTAAACTCAACTTTAATGCTTCTACAAAATAAAGGATATAAATTTTGTCCAATCGAGATGTTGTCATATAAAAAATTAGAACTGTTGTGAACAGTTATACACAAGCACACCGAAACTGTTTACATTATCTCATATTTTTTAAAAGCAGTCTTTTTAGGTGTATACAATGCCTAAGACCAAGGATTTAAGTCCACTGATGAATAAAATACTCTAGATTGCCATGGGTTTGCTATTTTTGATAATTAAATTCTACACGTTGTGTACTTAATTATGCCTTGGTGCACAAAAGACAGTATAATAGATTTGACTGCTTTGAAATGCACTTAAGTAGAGATGAACCATCCAAATGCATTCGGTCGATAATCTTATTACATTTTATCATTCTCTAAGCCTTTGTATCATCACGATATAGCGAAACTGAAGTCATCATACGACTAGGAAGGTTATCTTTAGATATCGCTAATCCAGTGACTAGCTCTTTAAGAAACTCAATAAAGACTATAACAGAAGTTGATGTCAATGAAGTTCATACTATTAAACTACTATTAAACAGCTGTTTAGCACTTGTCAAATTTTTAAAAATTATCTAACTTAGGTTAGTTCGTGATATAACCCATAAAATTCAACAGTCTTCATAAAATCCTTGCAATTTTTATGTTGATTTGTCCTTAACCGTTTAATCTTCAAAATCCTTATTTTCCAAAGAAGTTAGACGCTTCAAAAGCGCATCTTCCATCCAAAACTGCATAATGATCCATTATTATTTACATAGTCTTTTTATTGTGACATCGTAGTGATTACAATTTTATATCAGTATTTTTTGTAATCCTATCTGAATGATTAGATGTTACGTTTCTGATAACAAAACAGAATGTTTGTTACAAAAATGCAAGTCATTATTTTGCAATTTGTATGGTGGACTTTTGACTGGTATCAAACATGTAACAAGAAATATACTAAGTGAATACTCGAAATTTACTGATCTTATTTCTCTATATATTTTCTCTTTGGCTTTTAATTGTCTTAGCTGAATGTCTTGATTGTTAGGCTGTTATTGCTAAAATAACCAATACAATACTAAAAAGGAAGCAAATTAAAAAAGTTTCTTCACAGTTGACTAACAATTTTTGTTACCAAAACTTAATTTGGTTCACTGTCATCCATGCTTATATTCCCAATTTATATACACCTATTTCCACCATTTTTTAGGCTGAGATAATCATTGAGCCTGTAACACTTCAAGCTTTTCCCTGAACGAAATATTGGGTTAACTGATTACTAAGAAATCTGGATATCATGCTTTTCTAAATTGAACTGAAAGGCTAAAACACCACCCAAATTCTGCTCCTGAACTGAAAATTTTCCTCCACTTCAAAACTACGTGTGTGTGTATGACCAATAGTTTGTCTACCTTAACAACCTTAACCGGCATATATCACAGATGTGAATTGGTGACAGAAATAACGCTTTGTTTACCGTTTAGAATCACATGAATATGATTAGATTAAAACATTTTATACAATATTATATTCTAGAGATTGACATATATATTGATACACAATAACCCCATTCCAGTAATTTTACAAGTAAATTGGTCTTTGATAACAAATTCCAAAAATTATGATTCTTTGAATCTTTAGATATCTTGTTTCATGTAGGAATTTTTTGATGAGCAAATGAATAATTGTGGCTAAAGCGAATAGGATCAAGAAATACACATACCAATCTATATTTACTTATTTCTAATGAAAATAATAATTTTTTTCCAGTTCCCTAGTGTTTAGTCTACCGGTTTATTGATTTAATAAATAGGTGTGTACTTTAGTAGAAAAACGTTATTAATTCGTTTTCTAACGATCATATCATGAGGTGATTATATTCATTGACTAGAAAACTGAACATATCAGAATATGAATCTTAAACTAATTCTGTTATGTAATTGAATGTGTTTACACTGAAGTAAACTATAAAAGTAAAGGATGAAGACAGGATAATTTATTAAATTTGGCTCCATAAAACGATTCTCTTGTTTATTACGATTTAATTTTTTTTTACTGAAGTTTGTTTTCTGTGTTTTTAGTAAAAAAAATAGGTAGTTTAACTGTAGAAAAAAATAATGATTGAAAAACACTAGAATAATTTCGCAACCATAATTAGATTATTAAAATTAGTAAAATGTTTTTGCCATTGACTCCCGAATGAATAAATCAGTGTTAAGGAAGAAATAAACATGGTTTCAGTGAAAACTCAATGATTCATGAGTACATAAATCTCAATGTTAAAAAAGATCACTCGTTAATCGAATAGCTGATGGTAATGTCTTTGTGAATCCCAGGGCGATAAATAATTGTCTAAAAGTTACAGATACACCTTCATAATAAATGCTAATTACCACGATGCTTAAATCAAAAGCTACTTATTGATTGTTCTCAACTACGAAACATAAAAATTTAGTGCATATGGTTTTCAATCAATTAGACTAGTGGAGACATTTAAATTCAATCAACATTACATTTTACATCCTAGTGAAGATTAAATTATGAGTAACTTCTATGAGCGACTAATGGAATAGTATTATACATATATTCTTACTGTATATCTATTGAGTAACTACGTTATGTATGTTTATATTCCTCTTATTATAAACTTTATTTTGACCTGTTATGACTATTTGACTATTATGGTACGATTTACTATTCTTAAATTTGAATCGGTTTAGTGATTGCAGTCTCCCACAATCACAGTAACTTTTTGGCTTGATGTTGTACAAATGTTATTTTCTATTTTATGGCATGATGTTGTCTGGTTGGCTTGTATGTAAACCAGGTATGTTTGAAATAAGTGATTCATGTAGTGGAATCTGGTATTGGCGTTGTGGATTCAACAGGCAAGGGTAGACAGGAAAAAGGACCAATAAGGACTCTAGGGTGCTCACACCGTTCAATAGGTGATTGTTTTGACACAGTGCGGAGATTGTCTAAGTCGTATTCTGATTGGTGAATCAATCACGTGTTAATTAGTCAGGCAAAATTCACAAAACTAAGGATTAAACAAACATGACATAGGTAATCGCTTAATGATGTTTTCATTACATTCAACGAAACAATCTAATTTGTTTTTATTTGATACGATTTATATTTCTTGGTGGTTATTGTGATGCTTATGTTGTGATGTATTACAGTTGACGTTTGCCTACACTACATGTGCTTTTACATCTTAAAAATATAGTTGATTAATATTTTTTTAGCACAATCATTTCCATGTACTTTGATGACATGTATTCATTGAATTAAAAAAAACCAATATGTAATATTTGGAGCTGACTTATTAGAAGTAATGTCTGACCCCAAAGCTGTCCAATAAACAGAATAAAGCAAATGTTGATGATTATCTAAACATAAACTAACTATAATTAACCTTTTATTTAACGAATCTTCGTGATTCCAGGTTTACACTTTGAAAGAATATTATATTCGCCAATATGTTTGTATCATCTCTTATGTTTTATTGACAATGTTTTAACTAACATAAATTTTTGTACAAAGAGGCACCGAATACATAAACGCTACACAAATCGTTCGTTTTGTTTTAGAGCTGGGGTACTACTTGGGTGCCCAGACCGAAACAGGTGGTTTTCTTGGGGGACCATTCCCCGAGCCTCTGACCTAACTAATCTACAGGGCGGCGGATCAACTTAAGGAGATGCGGTCTCATGGTAGCCAGTGACCAACAATAGCTTCATACGCTATTTGTTCCCTCAGGATACTGGGGCCCATTTGCACCATAGGTTTGGAATCAGGGTTTTTCAACTCCCCTAAGTGAACTCTCAGTGTCCACCGAATCGGTTAAGGCGCCAGAAATTTGCTTTTAGTTTTCTAAATTTCGTAAACAATTCCCCTGGTTCGAGAAGGCAGTGAGTAGGACTTTCCTGACAAAGGTTGTGTACGCGTGGCCACGTGAGAGTATTTAAAGAGGGCGAGCTGACTCTCTCCATCCTCGACTGTAACACTGCATTTGAGGGCATTTTAAATTACGGTTGTCTTTGGTAGTTTTTTATTTTAACTATTAAAAGATTATCGTATAGAAAGCAATCAAACATTATAAATTCAAATTGTGCTTAAAGATTCATAGGAAGTGAAAACATTTGAAATTTAGTGGCGTGTATATGCTATTTTGTTTTCAGTTTACTTTTGATGACAAGAAAATACACAAATTCATTGGGGGAAAAAAATCAATTCTAGACTTGTTATTTGTGATTTTGTTTTGACATTACTTAAAATAATAATGAAACACTCAGTACATTCTGAAAAATATCATT